CTGTTTAGCTGTTAACTGTTTCACTGTGCTCACCATCTAGTGTTTGTCTGCTGTTTTAAGCTGAGTATGTAGTCTACAGTGGGTTTAGAGCTTTTTCACTGAACAGCTGACTGATGTGGCAGTAAAAAAACAGAAAAGTTGTTAGCCAGAAAGCTAAACAATGAGCTGAAGTAAAGCCGGGGGGAGCTGATAATTCTCACTAGGTTCATCACCTCAGGTGACCTCTGACATTGTCACATTGTTCTCACATTGTTGTTGCAGAAATATTGATTACAGCTGTTTTACAGGACAGTGGAGAGATGACAGGAAATGAGAGAAAGAGCGAGAGAGAGGGATTCAACTACCGCCACCGTTGTTGCACTGCCTCTAAGATCCGCCTCCTACTCCATCCGAACACACCTGTCGTGTGCCACACCAGTGTTAACAAACTGCATTGCTGGGATAGAGCTGCTGAGTTCAAAGTTTCACAGCCCGGGATTCAGCAGAGCTTCAGGGTTCGGGGTGAACACAGACTTTGTCCCTGTTAAAGCCCCTCAACAGTTCATTTAACAGCTAATGTTGGAATTGCCCTCAGTTTGGGCTGACTTAAAAACACTCCTACAAGCGGTGGCACACTGCTTGTAATTTTTTACAAATCTTCAGAAGCTGACCACAAAATGGAGAACAACTTATAATAACTATTAATATAAATGCCGGTGGCTGACGGTAATGTTTTTGTCTCATTTAGTAATATAATAAAGTTTATTTCTATTGCTCAAAGTGCTTTATAGTTTTCCATTAAACAGATTAAATGGTTGTAAACCATTTTAAATGCAATAAAACGTAATAGAATAAGTTGCATGTTTCATATTTAAGCTACAGTCTTATGCTTTTGAGTAAATCCTTATGTTGTCCTGGGCTGCTGAGGACTCGACTGATCTAATACAGAGTGATAACAGTCTGTCCATCCCTTTTTACTTTCTGTTCATCCCATACTGTATAAAGCCATTCGATGAGGCTGCACTTAACCCAACAAAATACCGCCTAACTCAGATTATACAGTTGGAGAAAGCTTTATTGCAGCAGTTACTGTAAATCATACTGATACTTTTTTCTATTTCTAAATCCGGAGAGCAACACTTTTGTCTCACTTACTGTTTGACTCTTCTTTTTTTTTTTTTTTTACCTCCATATGGGTTCGTTTAATCCTAAATAATGATGGATGCTCATACATGACTGATTCTTCCTGACATGGAGACGAAGACGCATTTTGACATTTACATTTTAAGCACTTAGCAGAGGCTTTTAATCCGGTGTGGCTGAGGGCAACAGTAACATAAATCCTGTATGACATACGTGACATGTAAGCAAAACCCACAAGGTGGTGTTTGGCTAGTTATTCAAAACTCTAGATTTTATTACTCATTAATATTTTTATATTATAAATAATATTTTTATATTATAATAATATTACCTTTTTTATTAAATATATTATATTTAATAAAGTACATATACAATTATTTAACGTTTTTATATTATAATAATATTATTATATATTAGTTTTAATATTACTTTTTTAATAGAAGAACTGCTGGGGGGGTCAGAGGGAAAAGAGATATGATCCAGTTTCACCCAAAATGCTACTTAAGTTGTGCTTTTGTACAGCCATCAGTGAAGTCCGGCCTCCAGAAACTAATTATTGCTATGGAGAGAAGCAGATAAGATGGATTTACTCCTTTTGGAAACATAAAGTTGGCAACTATACTCCCCTGTGTGTGTTTGCATGAATGTGTGTTTGAACAGTAGATATTGTGTAGTATGCTCCCTTCAGCAAGTGTCTGTTTCAGTGCCAGGTTGAGGTGAAAGGAAAGAGAATGGGCAGCTTTGTTGTTGATGGTCTGTCACACACTCATATGTACACACTCACAGAGGCAGGCACACACACACACACACACACACACACACACACACACACACACACACACACACACACACACACACACTCACTCTGGTGGGTGGTAGGAATAGAGTTGGCCTGTGTCCATGCTGGCATTGGCCAGTTTCAGTGAGCCTCTAATCTGTGAATTGAAAACACAAAGACTCCTCATAGACGCTCCAAAAAAACCAGTCAAGCCAACGGGCCGAAACTGTTGTCGTCGTTATTTTGGGGCTGTGGAATTGGGCAAAGCGGTGTCTCATCAGTAGGCAGAGAGGCGTGTGTGTGGTGTGAGTGTGTATTTGGGTTTGTGTAACTGTGACTGTGTGTGTGAATATGCATACAATATGTGTCAGATGTGAGACGATACAGAGACTGAACTTAATTGTTTTCTTCCCTGCATGTTCTCAGTGTGCTGTGCTCTCTGTTTTTGTCGGTGGACGTGTGACTGTGTGTGTGTGTGTGTGTGTGTGTGTGTGTGTGTGTGTGTGTGTGTGTGTGTGTTAGTGTACTCTTGGCACAGGCTGTCCTGGCTGTGAAGGTTCAGTGGGAAACACATTCCACTGAAAGAAAGTGAAGTTTTTTTCCGGACCGATTTCTACGAACAGAGACGATAAGCACTTCTTACTGACTGATTCTATGCGTGACATCTGAGGTGTTCAGCTGATGCTCTTATTGTAACCAGATTCATTTTCATGTATTTTTGTAAGAAAATGATAATATATATCTAATATCTGTATACAGATGTCTACTAGAAATGATTTGCTGTTACCAAGCACTGGTCACTCTACTAGAGGTGTTTGAGAATGATGAAGCTTGCATCACGTCTCTCTTCAGAGGAGTAGAATAGCACATTCTGCAGACTTCCAGCTGCCAAACTCCAGTTTTTAGAATGATAGCACATAGTCAATTATTTTTATTTTTTGTCATATTTGCTGAAACTTAGTCCTACCCTATTTATATAATCTGTCCTTAGGAATTCATAGTGAATTGAAAATATAGCCAATTTCTAATTTTTGTAATATGAATTTTCTACATTTTTTCAACGGCAGGCCGACATCATGTGAGATTCTTCATTTTGTCTATTTTTTTCCCTCTCTGTCTCTCTCTCGCTCTCTGTCTGTCTGTCTCTCTCTCTCTCTCTGTCTCTCTCTCTCTCTCTCTCTCTCTCTCTTCGCTCGGTGCTGCTGTCAGTTCCTATGAGCAGCCGGGCCCGCGTTGTGTTTGGGCCACACAGGGCAGGCTGAGGCTGAAGCCGCCTGACTCACAAGCTCTTGGCTGTTGAGAGACAGAATGTCACTGCACATTGGGTTGCCTTCACGTTACACAAGCGCACACAGCAAACAAACATACAGCGGCAAAGTACACACACGCACATACAGCACACAAGTAGTACGCACACAGAGCAAGCCAAGCAAATCCCAAATACACACACACAGTCAAACTGGGCTGAGGCTATTTTTAGCTCGGCCACTCGTATGCAGACTCATGTGCAACAGGAAATGCACATGATGGCTGTAAATGAGTACATGGCATATTTTGCCATGTTGTGATTGGTCGCAGTGATGGATTCATGGTGTCACCTCTTTCGGCTCGTGGATGGATCCCCCTGCACTTCCTCTTTTGGTTCAGGTTTTAAAGCTGCAGTAGGTAACTTTTATAAAAACAACTTTTTGTCATTATTGCTTGAAGTTTCACTATATGCTGACAGCAGAACATGAGACAGATAATCTGTGAAACAATCAGGTTCCTCTGGCTCCTTCTAGTGCTCCTAATGGCATCTGCAAGAATCCACCAGGCTTGAACGAAATCAACCAATCAGAGGCGGGAAAGACAGAGAGAAGCTTGGGTTGGAGGCTTAAAGATATTTGATTGTTGAGTGCCAAAGTATCTGTATTTGATGCCCTAGAAAGGAGACTCAACCAACTAAATTTTTGGCTCTGATTGGTTGTTTTCTTTAACCTGCATTCTACGTACTGGCTATTGGCAGCGATAAAAGACCAGCTCAGTAAACAGTTTCCTAATGAGTTTATAATATAGAGTTAGAGTTAATAAATGTCAGTTCTGGTATGATATCACAGTGATTCAGTTAAGAAAAGTGCTCAAAAATATCTGACCGGAACTTGTTTAGCTTGAAGCAAGACCAAAAGAGGTGGCCCAAAGTGTCCTCTGCTAATTTACATTTTGGGCAAATTGGAGAGACAGAAGGCCGGGTAAAATGAGTGCAGTTTGCTGTGGGAGCACTGAAGTCTTGACTTGAACTGACAGTGACAGAGGTGATTTTGAGCTCTTTAAAATGCGCTTGAGGTGCCCAGATAGCTCACCTGGTAGAGCTGGCCCCCTGTGTACCAAGGCTGAGTCCTTGCTGCAGCGGCCCAGGGTTCAGATCCAATCTGTGGCCCTTTGTTTCGTGTTATCCCCCCCCTCTCTCCCCCTTCCTGTTACTCTTCAGCTATCCTATCTAATAAAGGGAAAAAGCCCCCAAAAGTATATATCATATAAAATGTTGGGCCTGATACATTCAATCATCCAGTTTTGTAATATTGTGGCAGCAGTAATTGGGAATGAAGCTGAAGTAAAATGTAATGATTGAGTTTTTGCATCGATGTGATTCATATATATGACCAGAATCTTAAAATCCAGTCAGGAGCAACAGTAAATGGGAAACAGACAAAAGCTGTGTGTGTTGTGGTACATTAGCTTTTTCATTTCTTTGTCTTCACTTCCCTGTGGGGTGTTTATACATGATTGGCATTTAGAGAGTTGTGTCTGACGTTTAATTGGAAATCGCTAACAGGCAAAAGCATTTCTTGAGAAAGATGTAACAGATCATGAAAAATGAGACATGACTTGTGCTCCTTTTCCTCATGTTCATATTTGGATTGCAACCGTTGGTTTTCATTTGAATTCCTTGTAGTGCCAATACTGTTCTGCCTTCTTATTGGATATATTGTCCATTTGACTTATATCTGTGCTTGTCAGCTTGATTTTATTTATCTGTTTATTATTATATGTTTGTTTGGAGTCCCTCGGGCTAGCTCCCTCTCTCACCTGCAGTTAATATTTGTGTGTGTTTTCTCTGCAGCAATCCATGAGTTCCCCAGGGATTACTTCACCAACCAGGAGCGCGTTGATGGAGCAGTGGGCCTGCACGTCCTCTGTGTGAGTGTCACCTGCAGCATATACACACTCAGTAAATGGTGCCAGTGTTTGTGCATTAACTCTTGCCTTCTTCATTTTGTGTAGGTTTAAGTCAGTTACACATTAGAAAAGGCCTCTGTGGGGGAATATCAGGAAGTTGAGGTGATTCCAAAGATGCCAAATGGTCAGTAATAGTCAGTGCAGATATTTCCTTCCAGGGCTTTATTAGTGCAGCAATGTGTCTTTAATATTTCAATTATTCTGACAGATATTCACATGATTCAAAATTGGTAAGATTTTCATTTTCACTGATAGACCGATTCAAATCATGTGACATTAGTTGGGGTGTGTACTAAAATTTGTAGGCCAGTGCATCTCTGCAGCACTACAGTACTTCATTATAATGCTGTTTGCCACACATTTTACCTTTAACAAACAAACTGCAGCTCCTGTGATTTGGATATTGCACTTGGTCACATTGTGATTTCAATAATATTTCAATTAGCAGCTCTGACTGTAATGTAGTTTCTGTTAGAAAGAAATGATATGGCAACACAACCTGTCACTCCTCAAAGGAAAAGTTTGACATTTTCTTTTTTTGTCTCATTTTCTTAATCCGTATAATGGCGATTAGTTGTTTTTTCCATGGGCCAAAGGCAAACACTTGTTGTATCATTGATGTAAAATGTCACTAGGATCCCACTAGGATCCACCTTTTTCACAGTAGCCATATTGACATGAAATAGTAGGGTAAAACAGGTGTTACCAGTGATACTAGTTAAGGTTCTGTTGGATTTAGTGTACGTACATCAGCAGCAAACACTATATAACGTGTTCATTAGAGAGCTGCAGAGGTGCTGCTAGGTTTCATTACTTTTGAACAGAGCCAGACTAGCTTCTGCTGTTTCCAGGCTTTGTGCTAAGCTAAGTCCAAAAATTTTCTTCTTCATGCTAAGCTAAAAAGCTAACTTCTGGCTCGCTTGCAAAATTCACAAAGTAGCTAAATTTGAGACATGAATTGTGAATTGTTCCATCACCAAATAGGGTGTTCTGCTACTGTGTGTGTGTGTGTGTGTGTGTGTGTGTGTGTGTTTGGCCCCTCCAGGCAGTCTACATGTTCTATGCACTGGCCTTGGTGTGTGACGACTACTTTGTGCCCTCACTAGAGAAGCTATGTGAGGTAAGAAAACACTGCAGGTTATTACTGCACTTCTACTGAGCTTACATCACCACACAAGAACTCTCTAAGTAATGCTTTGTGATTCAGTTCTTTTAAGAATACTGTTTTCTTTTGTTTTTTCTCTCAACCAGCGTCTTCAACTGAGTGAAGATGTTGCAGGAGCGACCTTCATGGCAGCAGGCAGTTCAGCTCCTGAACTGTTCACTTCTGTCATTGGTGAGAAACGTGCAGTCACATTAACACACACACACACACACACACACACACACACACACACACACGTGCACACACACACGTGCACACATATACAGTATTTATATATCTGAAACGTTTATAGATGCACCAATCCACTTTTTAAGAGTTCCAATGTGATTCTGGTACCTGACTGGATATTTGCTGATACCTTTTGCAGAGGTTTTAATAAATTGGTAGTACTGTGCAATGCAGCACAACTTCCCCCCTCACAGTGTTGGCTTTACACACATTACAAGTTGCTGTTCCTTGCTTCAAGACTAAAATACTCCAAACTGAGGACGTGTTGATTTAGCCAACTGTTCACTCAGTTGCAGTCTCAGGTTACGTCACAGCAGGTTCATGGTCCAGCAAGCCCTGCCTTTACATCTAACTCATAGAAATCTGGGAGACAAAGAAATATGGGGACTATTATTACATATTTATAATTAATAAAACCACCAGACTGTGGTCTCTGGATTGGTGAAGTCAGTCTGATCTCTGATGAGTAAATTACATCACTATTGGCACTTGATACAGATATTTAATCGAATCGCCACTGTAGGAACTTAACTGACCACAAAACAAGTTACATTTTTCTGTGGTAAGAACTAATATGAATTTGTCTTGCCATATTTGACTTAAGCAAAGTCAATAAAAAGAAGACAATGCACAGATCTAAATTTTTTTATGTAGAAATCAAACATTGAGTCATACATGGCAATACATAAGTGGAAACTAACCCTTTAGATAATTCAACTGAAGGACAGCCATAAGGTTTGGGGTTTTTTTGTACCAACAATCCATCAAAGGTGTTTCTGAAATAAAATATCTCTGCCTTATATTAGATTATATTTAAAATTATTAAAAAGAATGGATAGAGGTTGATGTACAATGTCACACTGAAACTGGTTCTGTGCATTTCATTTGTGCACCAATACTGTAATAACCACCACTGGTTATTCTACATTTTGACACTAAGTAATCTTTACTGCAAATGTATATCAGTTCCAAATATCAGTCATCGGTTTCCTTGATTACTAATAATCGGTATCTGTATCGGCTCTGAAAAAGACGTATTTGTCGATCCTAGTCAGCATCACCAATAACACAAAACCAAACTGGATGTGAAGGAATAGTTTGGTAACCAGGGTTTGTGATTCTGCTGTACAGGAGTTTTCATCACTAAAGGTGACGTCGGGGTCGGGACCATCGTGGGCTCGGCCGTCTTCAACATCCTCTGCATTATTGGAGTATGTGGGATATTCGCCGTACAGGTAAAGTACAAAACACACTCTCACACACACACACACACCTATCAAGGATGTTTTTCTGTCTCTCTCTCTCTCTCTACCGATTTTTCCATCCAACATTCACACAAACCTTTAGCAAGCATGTTAAACACTGCATCAGTAAGGGTGTATTCACACAAGGAGTGCGGCTCATTCGTTCCGGATTAAGGGAAAAAACTGATACATTGTTGCATTTCGGTTCTGGTCTGGTGTCACACACTTGTGCTGTCAAAACTGGCCAAAAAAGATGTTGATTATTTGTTCTAAAAAATCACATAGGTTGGACCTATTGGACTTTGTATGTTTGTCCATCAACCAATACATAACATAGCTATGCTGTCTACTGACCAAAACATGTGACCTCCTCCTCCTATACTGCAGTATAGAATTTCCAGTGGAGTGTTTCTGTATTGGTGGTAGGGGGTGTTTGCCGCAGTAGCTCAACAGTTATCCCCATTATACATTTAAACATACAGTAGTTTTGCTCAAGCACTTATAGCTCTCTCCTTTTAGAAATTGTGTCTAATCCCAAAGTTTTTCCATGCTATTGAGTTCTGCTAGCTGCAGTGCTTTAGTTTAGCAGTTAGCGATGGCTTCTCCCTGCTCTCTGTTGCTCAATGTCAAACATTTAGCTATCCCTCTGCCTCCTGTAGTGATAATGGAACAGTAAGAGTATAGTTTATTTTTCTTGCTGGAATGCAAGGTTGAATTGGAAGTGCAACTCCGCAGAACAGAAACTAAACTGTTAGCTTAGTAGTTAGCCAGCCCCCAGTAGCCGATGTAGCTCTTCCATTAATTTGGCGCTATTGAAATATTTCCAAAAGACGGCAGGTCATGTCACCAAACTGGGTTTTGAACTTTCTGCCACATGGCTGTAGTTGAATTATCCGCTTGTTTCAGCTTGAGCTAGATTTCATTTTCAATCAGTGAAAGTGACGTTGTGTGACTGCACGCAACGAGGCAGATAGTTGCAGTAGTGCTGTTCCCACCCCCCACAACTAATAATGAATTTTCATAATCCACTATATATTTTGCAGTTTGATTATATAATCGAGTTCAGAATATTTGTTGACAACCCTAGTTCACAAATGCCCAAACAAACCGCACCAAGAGGGGAAAGGCTCCCAGTTTCAAAATAACTGCTCCAAACGAGATGTGTGAATACATCCGAAGTATGCTCCTTATACATGGGCTCATATTAATATACGAGCATAGGCAGTGGTTGGGACATGTGCTGAGCTGTTTGTACCAAGTCTCTGGCACTATTTATTCTTTAAAAAAATGTCTGCCTTAAGCAAATCACATTAAAAACCTTACATAGAAACTCCTCTCTCTCACCGTATCTCTCTCTCTCTCTCTCGTCATAACTGCGTTTATTTTGCAGCAGAAGTGTGTGAGTCAGAAAACGATATCTGTCCTGTTCACTGCTGTAATCCCACGAGGAAAAGAAAAACATACTTGAAAGATTTTTTTTTCCTATTTAGATTACATGTTACATAATACCAAAACACACACACGCACACACACACACACACACGCACACACACACACACACGCACATGCTCTCACACACACACACGCACACACACACACACACACACACACACACACACACACAGAGTTTGGTTTATCTTGTTAGTAGTGCACAGCAGTGAGTACCTTGTGGGATGTGTTATTCAACAGGACATAAAATGATGTTGTGCAAGTTTTAGCGTCGTCTCACTCTTTCTCCCTGTCTGTCTGTCTGTCTGTCTGTCTGTCTGTCTGTCTCTCCCAGACAATACGTCTCTCCTGCTGGCCTCTGCTCAGAGACTCTCTCTACTACACCCTCTCCATCTCTGCTCTTATAGTGGTAAGGAACAGCTTGATACAACCTATTATTACACATATTTTGGGCTCGACTATTGGGCTACAGACACAGGTCTTTTTTCTTTAGCCATGGGTCTGTTTTTACTGCCAACATATTTACTATGACTTTGAATTTCTAAAAAGCAACTTGCGACAAATCTAGTGAGTTATTCAGACAGTCGGCGAACGCTAGAGATAATCACAAATCGTTTTCTGTCTTGGTTCACACAGAAAGAGATTATGGAAGCCAAGAACAGGGATGCTTTAAAATCTTTTTTCTTTTATGCCGTTATCTCAAGATCACAAGTTCATTATTTTGTTATCTCCAGAAAACAAGCTTTGTTATTACAAGATAACAAGATAATCAACCCACTGTCAGCCTTATCATCCTTTTTGTTACTCATAATGTATATCAGAGATCAGTGCTATGACATACAATGTGCTAGTTAATATTAATTTTGATACTGACAAAAATTTAGCCAGCAGCCAGGAAAAAGTGCATGAAAAGAAATATTTTGTCAGTATTGTTTCATGTTGCACGTGAACTCTCAGATGTAGGTAACAACTCTTTTCTGTTCAGTGATGAATCCTCCCCAGCAGTCATGACATTGATCTTGAAGGCTGCAATCAGGATGTGATCAAATGAACCATACACTCTTTTTTGAGTTCTCCAAAATTATCCCGTACTCTTGCAAAACCAAAAGTTATTTTCTCATAATAAATTATCTTGTTATCTCGAGAAATCAACCTTTTGTTTTCTTGAGATAATTTGACTCGTGCTCTCAAGATGGGTGTTGAGAGATGTCTGTACATGCCCCTGGATTTTATTATCACACTGGAAGTCCCCATGAAGTCAAATTGATATTTAAGTGGTTTTGTCACATATGTCTTGTGCTATAAGTCACCTATATGCCAGTATCTGGCCTAACAATGTCATTTTTTAGAGAGATGTGATTGTCCACCTGTAATTATACCTTCATGTAGTCCCAGTACTTGTGATTTCAACAGCTGCATCAATTACAAATCTATGATTTTCACTTCTCTGTCATTTCCCTTTTCCATCTTACAGTTCATATATGACGAAAAAGTTGTTTGGTAAGTTAGATTTTTTGATTGTTTACAATAACATTCCAGTAATTAATAACAGGAGACTCCCTAAATACACTTACAGCCTCAAATATACAAATTCACATGGTAAATTGATCTGAACTGTGTTTTCCAGGTGGGAAGCTCTCACGTTGATCCTGATGTATTTCGTCTACATTTTGATCATGAAGTAAGTAATTAAGCTCGATGTCTGATAACACACAGTTATAACAGCTTTTCTTAAAGAATTAAAGGGGACTCATTGATAAAATTAGGATACTTAAGGCAGGAGACCCCAACATGTTGGTTGTGATTGTTTTTATAACAATCTTAAATAACAGAAAATCTTGTTAATGGTGGATATAGTGTTAACCTGTTAAAGCATTTCAGTGTAATGTCACAGTAGTGGTATTTCATGTTGATGAAAAATGTAAAACTACATTAGATATGTATGGCAGATAAATATGAAAACACAGTTCATCAGCAGCTCAACAAAGCATGTATATGTTGTACACAAAGGTGAATTGAATTTTACCTGACGTCTGTTTCAGGATGAACTCCCATGTTGTTCGGTTTCTGGAGAGGCGGAAAAAGAACTCGTCCACTTTGAGGAACGGAGCGGCCAATAACGCTGAACTAGACGATGGCTGTGATGCTACCGCTGTTCTACTGAAGAAAGGTATACAGAAGTATTGGGCAGTAATGTTGGGCGAGAAATAGTTTCAACACAACTCCATCTTAAATGACAAATGTTAATTAGTGAGTTTTAAAGGCGCTGGTGAAAATATTTCAGGCTAAGATAAGATTCATTTTGTTGTTAAAAAACAAAAGCGTTAAAAATTATACATATAAGCAATTCCACTAAAAGCTCCCTGCACCAAACTCCCTTAAAGAAATATGACTATTTAACAATTCCTCCTGTGTCCATTAAAACACATAACTCTAGAAACACAAGTTAAAGGGTGTCATGTCAACTGTCTTCTTGTCAGTTGGTCATCAATAATAACATAATCCATTAAGATGACACTGTATTTTGTTGTCTCAGCTCACTAATAGCCTCTGTTGGTTAGCTGTGCTGTTTCAGTGGAAGAAGACCATGGGAATGATAAAGATAAAGGCCGAATTGAACACAGACTTATAACACTGACAGTATTTGAGTTTTTTCAGCTGGTACCAAAGTAACTTCTACCAACTAACAGTTTGCTGCTTCCTGTTTGGTGATGGAGAGAGGTAATCCCATGTCTGCTCTCATTGGCTGGAGCTCCCCGACACAACCAGATAGTTTGCCTGCTAGATATATTTTGGGCGTCTGTGAGGCATCGACAAACTTTGAGTCCTCAGATCACGTCTCTGAACAGTTCACACATAGCAACAGTCCTCACTGGAGCGAGCGCAGATTTCTGATCTGGAGGCTTTTGTCTGCGATCTCCAAAAATGATGGACAAGAGGAAAATCAGGGCTAAAATCATCCAGTGTGAACTTGGCTTAAATGTCTTCCTGCTCCTTAAATAATTAGGATTGTATTATTGTGTGCTACTAATCTATACATTCTAGCAAAGGTATAGAACATAGTAGATGGATGTGTTCTCATGCGGTCATAGGTGCATGTGTATATTGTGTGATTACATGCATGTGTGTCCGTCCTATAGCAAACCACCACAGGAAGCCGTCGGTGCTGATGGTGGACGAGCTGCTGTCAGCATACCCCCACCAGCTGTCTTTCTCCGAGGCCGGCATGAGGATCATGATCACCAGCCACTTCTCCCCAAGAACCCGCCTCACCATGGCCTCACGAATGCTCATCACCGAGGTAAGGATTCCCTCAGGCACAGTACACCTGCACGTTTGACTGAAAAAAGAGGGGAAAAAAAGATTGCTGCCATTTTCAATTTGAAGCAAGCTGCAGTGTGTTTTTCTGCAGGGAAGAAAAAGAGTTTCAGACAGCTTCTTTAACAAGGTAATCTGGAGCTGCACAGAGTCCCTGGCCTACAAATCAGCTCCACCATTGAAGATTCTAGGAATTAGGTGTTTTTATACTTTTCTCAAGGACTTGTCACGACATGATTTAGAAACCCGATCCAACAAATGACTGCATCTGATTTGCTATTTTACAAATGTAAATGAAATGTGAAGCTGTTGCAACAGATCTCAGCCCTTCACTTCACTGTAGTCCACCTCAAATTTGTTCTACTACAGTATACATGTGCTCTCTTTTTTGCAGGTCCCGTGCTGTGTTTTGAGAAAAAACGCACCCTCATAGGAAAGATTTTTGATTTCATAATGGCAGCCTATGATCACACTACTCAGAATGCACTTGTTTCTCTGTCTACATAGATAGAATCCTTTGCAGATAGACGCATCATTTTATTTTTAACATGTTTGCATGAACAGCTGCTCATTCATTTTAATAATGACAAACTGCTAGTAAGTCACATCTGACAATGTTGACGTTAATATTAGCTTAACAGACAGTATGAGCTGCTTCACAGACCGTTAATCTTGGATGTCTCAATTCAAGGCTTTAAGGTTACAAGCTTAAAGCAATAATATGATGTGATTAAAAGTTTAACAGGAGACTCTGACAACTCACCAGCTATCATTCCATTCCCATTATTCCGAATCCCCAATAGTCCGAAAAACGTCCCAAAGGACCAAAAGTCCATTTATCTGTTGGCCCATTATTCCAAAAACATAAACCCACACTGTTTGTGTAACTGTGTGTGATACAGAGGCAGCGTCTCATCAACACACGGACTTTGACCAACGGTGACTCGGATGTTCCAGTCAAAGGAGGAAGTAGGCGTGGCATAGAAAATGGGCTGTCCGGGGCCGAGAGGGGTGTCAGTGTTCGCCATGACGATCGAGAGGCGGGCAACGAGACGGAGACCGAGGACAATGAGAACAACGAGAATGACGAAGAGGAAGAAGAAGAGGACAGAGAGGGACCGCTTGTACCCTTCCAGTGTCCAGGTACCTGCTGCAGATGCATCTGTGTGGAATGTGTTATCACTCTGTTAATGAAAATTATTAGTTTTGTTTCACTTTGGTTAAAGAAATACTGTACATTCACATTTTTTTTGGAAATCCAGTTAATTGCCCTTTTTCCAAGAGTACCGGCCCACAATTTCTAATTATATTTTTACATTTCTGTATCTTTACGAGGTCATTCCTATGTTCCCCAGGTTTATACATGACAAAGGGTCCTATGTTCCCAGGGTCCTATTTTCCAAAGGTCCTCTATTCCCAAGATCCTCTGTTCACAAGGTCCTATGTTCCCAGGGCTATGTTCCCAAGATTCTGTGTTCCCAGGATTATGGTTAGGGTTAGGTTTAAGGCGTTCTACAGACAGAGGCTGTAGCTTGAGGTGCACTGGTTAAGATTACTGAGAACCTCAGTGTGTAGATCCTTAAACTGTTCTGAAGAACTGTGTAACAAACAAAATGGGGAAAAAAAGCTGTTTTCCCAGAATGCTGTCAAAATATGGAAGGATGGGACGACTGTGTTGGGAGGGGGGTATTACTAAGCAATGTTTTCGTTCCTTGGGGGGGGTGTATATATATAATATATTGTATATATTTGTTTAAGATAAAATTAAACTGGAGAACTGTTTCACTTCCTGTAAAATGTAACATCCTTGATCCTCCAATAAAAAGATTCATAAAAAAAAAAAAAAGATTGAACTATTGCTTTGATACGGGAGCATTGTAGCGCTTAGCATTTGGTAAAGTTAGCCTATTTTATTTTGACACAGCATGCTCTGTTTCCACTTAACCAGCAGACTCTCTGGTGTAGTAATCAGAGCATATAACACAGATAAAGGCTTAAAATAATAAATAAAAAGGGTGAAATCACAAAAATGTAATCACAAAAAGTTTAAAGTGAATTGATAGATTTGCTGTTATCTTATTTAAATTGATTAAAAGCAAAACCACAACTCTGTTTGCTATTTATCTTTCAGTCACTAGTGTGAGCATTTATTGTTGATCGTCTGCGAGATGATGCAAGAGTAATTCTTATCAAATCGTTTGCGTTTGGATCAAAAGTGGAAGTTTGAGGACAATTTATCAAGTTTAGTAGTTTTTATCATTTTTTTTATCTGTTTCTGAATTCCACCCTTATGTGATTGATCATAGGCCTGCATCTTGCCTTTTTGAAACACTGCATTCATCCATTCATTTGTTCATCTGTGTTGCACTTTGTATGTACATCCTGCATATCAGATACCGTAACAATGCATGAATTCCATCTGCATCAAATTCAAATGCATTCATAGACACACTATTGTTATGTGTGGATGACAGTGTTTATCATAGATTTTAGAGGACGTTTATAGCATGAGAAGACATAATAATCTGTCTGTACCCTTCCTCCCTGTCCACACAGCCCATGTATCTGACGCTGTGTCTTGCCCTGTGTGTTTGCAGCCGGTGTGTGTAATAAGCTGAAGTGGCTTCTGGCCTGGCCTCTGTGCCTGCTGCTGTACTTCACCGTCCCCAACTGCTCCACACCTCGCTGGGACAACTGGTTCATGCTGTCCTTCTTTGCCTCCACCCTGTGGATCGCGGGTTTCTCCTACATCATGGTCTGGATGGTGAGAGAGGCAAACTGACACATATTTTAAAAAAAGCACTTCACCCTTGACACTTCTTAATGATATGCTATTCTGCTACAGCCTGTGTGGCTCTATTGGTGTTACATTTTAATGTCTCCAGTAGCAATTAAGATATATATTATTAATCCCCTATTGGGGAAATTCTTCTTTTCACTCTTTTTTATTCTTACACACACACACAGGCTGAAATACACACTTCATGCACTTGTGGACATGCGACAGGGAGAGAGATGGTGGAGTGATGGGCTCGCCACATTAGCAGCACCCATGAGCAGTTTCTTGGGGTTAGGTTGCCTTGCTCAAGGGCACCTCGGCCCAAGCCAAGTCCCTACACACTGAGCTACTGCCGCCCCATTTAACATGTTAAATAAATAAATGAATAAAGAAGAATGAGAATAGTTTCATCTTCTTTATATGGCTAAAGGAGCTGCAGTGGAATGAAAAAAGAACCAAACTGGAGCGAGGAAGAGAAGGTACAGCAATTTAGTAGCACATTGACAGTAGTGCAGCCAGAAAACATGCTCAAAAAATTGCAAACAAAATCAGTACCATCTTTATTCTTTTTGTTTGCAGCCCTGAGGAATGCTAAAAAATATACAAATGAAGTAACATTAAGAGTGTGATTAGGGATAACAGAAAGCAGCAGTGGTATCTGGTAAGCTAAAACTACCTCCATGCTTTAGAGTAAGTCAAAAGAAATAGAATAAAGTAAAGCAACTTTTTTTCTTAAAGAAATCAATATTAGTCAACAGACTATGGGTAATAACTGCTGACATTAGCATGTTGACATTTACAGCATCCGTTATCTCCATTGACTGTATATAAAGATGGACGACATAACTCCCCAAAAGTGAAGCCGAAACATATCGGTCGCCCCCTGGTGGCTAGTTGCAGTATAGCTCATAAACCAAGCCCCCTCCTAGTTAGCAGATGGGACGGATTAAAACAATCCACACCAAGAGTAAATAGTTCCAAAAGATGGTTTCTATGTATGAATGTTCAGTTGTTCGTTTTCTGATAAGTTTAGTTTGAATTAATGGGCGGGACCTCCATACTGCAGCTCTAACCCCGAACACTACTGCACAGACTCCGGCTCCAAATTACGTCACCAGCGCAAGCTTGGCCTATTTTTAGTACAGTGGAGACATGTCTTCCACCTTTACAGTCAATGGTTGTCCCCAACACTGGACATCTCCTTAGCTATATGGAGTTTTTTTAGCATCTTTCAGGTCATGTTCAGATTTTATGGCCCACAGTGTTATTGTTTTGGTTCACTCTAACCACTACTATCACGCTTGTTTTCAGCGTCAGCAGGCAGCAGGAGTTTTCTGTATTTTTAAAAAGCCCTAAAAACCCACCGTACTCCAGCACCAAACGGCAGTTAGCAACCAGCTGGGGATCCAATTTAGTAGCTAACAAGACAATATTGTCCTCAAAAGTTGGTGGAGAGTTAAAAAGAGAGGGGATATTGGACTAACATTCATCAGGTGGCCAGAAACATGACTCCGAATAAATGCCAATGTTGCTCCGTAGCTCCTGGATGTGTAAATTAGCAATGTCTGCCAACATGTTAGCCATATGAACCTTTCAAGACTGTAATAAGTCAAAATGTGTGCTGGCATTTTAAAGTTGGCTAACCACTAAATGTTTACACACTGAGCAGACACATAGCGTTATTAGCATTAGCTAGTGAGTGTTGGCTTTAAAGTTGCTTTAACTGATTTTTTTTTGCCACCGGGGTGATAGTTGTAACAAGTTGTCAGTACAACACCGTCATATTAGCGCCTGATAAAGTTGATATGGTGAACATGTCAGGCTTATTTACAGATTCAGTAGACACAGAACAACATTAGCATTCATTTGGAGACATGTTTCAGGCTAACTAATGTTTCCCTCTGGACAGTTGTGTGTTTTTGTGCGAATGGGTCCCTGTTTTGTTTCTCTGGTGCACACGCCAAGGTTGCACAAGGGCACGCACAACTGCCAAAATACGAGCAGTAATAGTCTGTCTCTGTCTTTGTCTGTCGGTCAGGTAACAGTGATAGGTTTCACACTTGGTATCCCAGATGTCATCATGGGCATCACCTTCCTGGCAGCCGGCACCAGCGTCCCTGACTGCATGGCCAGCCTAATAGTGGCACGACAAGGTAAACACACACACACACACACACACACACACACAAAATGACAGGCTACCGAGCCTCATTTAACACAAACACACACACCTACAGCCCGATGGAAGCCAAACAACAGCATCAAAGTGAAGCCACTATCAAAGAGGGGAGGAGATGACAGAGATAGAAATGGGTGTGGAGAGGAGTGGGGGAGGTTAAGATTTTGGGCCTGTCATCTTTTTCCGCTGTCCCTCTTCTGTCCCTGTGGCAAGGCAGTAAAAGAGGAAGGGGGGGGGCTGGCGAGGGAAGACAGCCCGACGGGCTCCCTTCCTCCATCCTTTCATCTGTGTTTATTCTTGCTCCTGTCATCAAATATTTAAACGGCTCTGTCTGTCTGTGTGTGGGGGCTCGCCGGGAGACGCACACCGCCACCGCAGTTAAGTCGTCCGTCCTTTGCTTTGTAGCTGCTGGTGCTTCGTTGTTTCTGTGGGACGTCAGTCGGACAGATAGCTCTGCTGATCTGGCCCGTATCAGCCTACCTCTATCTCAACCTGTCGCAGCCTCCCCCCTCACACACTCCTGCACACCCTCCGTGTACCTTCCTGTCTCCCCGTTGCCCACTCACTTTCCCTTTCATGCTGTCTCTCTGTACTTCTCTTTTCCTGTTCCCTCTTTTACTGCTGCTTTTCAACTTTGTCTCTGCATGTCTGTTCAGGAATGGGAGACATGGCAGTGTCCAACTCCATTGGCAGTAACGTGTTTGACATCTTGGTGGGGCTTGGTCTCCCCTGGGCCCTGAAGACTCTGGCAATCAACTATGGCTCTGATGTAAGTAGGTCACTCCTCATCACCTCTTCTTCTCGGGGTCAAACTTTGACTGTTTTCACTTTCAGCATCAAAGGTTCAGTGTTTAGGATTTAGTGGAATCTAGCGATAGCTCCCTCGCTTCACCTGTTTTCAAGCACGAAGGAGAAACTATGGTGGCTGCAAAACACGCAAAAAAACGTGAACGTCCCTACCTAGAGTCGGTGTTTGGTTTATTGGTTCTTGCGGATTGCAGGAACAAGGCGGACTCCCGCCAGAAGAGGAGCCACTCCCTCTGTAGATAAAACAGCTCATTCCAAGGTGTTTTTAACTGGACCTTTAATATAGTTGATTGTTGTCTGTTTGCATTATCCAAAGCATTATGGGAGTTGTAGTGTCAAAACTGAATATATGAGTCCTAAATATGTATCCTAAAAGGAGATAAGAAAAAATTGGAGAATTGAGAGATTTTTTTAACACTGTTGGCAGCAGCAAAATTCAGGGGCAGTGGCGTTTTTTTATTTTAAAGATACACACAGTTTATTGTCCCCATGCCTCCTCCTGATGTTGGCACAGTTTATGAAATCATAGCACACTAATACACACATACACATGCTTGTATGCTTGTCAGTTTACACTGCTATCTAGCAGTTGGGGGTATACACACAAAAATAGATACAGTGTTTATGAGAATCGATACAATATCACAGAACAAGCTCTATCGATATTTTCTTATACCCCTACCGGTTTAATGACAAACATAGAATACGCATAGAATAGCAATTTCCAATTCTTTTGTATTATCAGTTATGTTAAAAATAATACCCTTGCCATATATTCATACTACAACTACTTACAACTTTAACAAAAGACATAGGAGACAAACATACTATAATGACTTTGCTAAAGGTAAGTGAAAATAAGTTTTTTGTAATATTTTGGGTGAATTTACCCTTTAAAACCGAGCATATCTGTAGAGCCCAGCTTACAGCCCACAGCATGGATCAGGGACACTGAGCTACAGTTGGCCTTTGTTTGATGTTGTTATTTCATGGCTTACCATGCACGCCATGTGCATCAGACAAAATTACCTTTTAATGTGAAACCCATACTCCAGTCTGAAGAATAAACAAGTAAAAGTTGTGTCTAACTGTGTCTTTGCATTACGTTAGCAGCTGAACAGATAAGATTAACATCAGATTTTCTCAAGTTTACATCGCAGTGAAAAGATGCTGTGCAGTAATCTTGCACATTTGAGATAATAAAACCCAACTGGCATTTAAAAATCATCTCAAATATCCACCAAAAAAGTAAAGAGCTGAGAGGAAAAGTATTTATTGGAGCAGCTTTAAGTTTCTGAGAATTACGAAAGGATAATTCCCAATGTGTTTTGCTCTCTGTCTACTTCTTTTTCTTTATAGTGATGTCTCATATTCTCTTGTTGCAGATCAAACTAAACAGCAAAGGACTGATATTCTCTGTTGGGCTCCTGCTGGCGTCTGTGTTTATGACTGTGAGTAAACGTCTTATTATCACACCTTCCATAGGCAGGACAGTTTGTGCCTGAGTTCTCTCCATGTGTTTGTTCTCGATCTGTCTATTGATCTGTTTACCTGCCTGTCTCTCCACCCACCTGCCTTCCTCCCTCCCCGTCTGTCTGTCTGTCCAGGTCCTCGGAGTTCACCTAAACAAGTGGACGTTGGACAAGCGTCTGGGTTTCGCGTGTCTCTTCTTCTATTCCGTCTTCCTGTGTTTCTCCTGCCTCATCGAGTACAACATCTTCACCTTTGTCAACCTGCCGACCTGCAGAGACGACTGAGACACACACACACACACACACACACACACACACACACACACACAAACACAACACACACAAACACACTCGCACACTAGAAGTGGTGTTTGCAAGGAATTCCAAGTAAAGTGAAGTATTAAACAACAGAAACAGAACCAGTATAGTTCTAAATTTAGCAAGTAAGAATTATTTGCAAATACCATTTGACACTGGTCCGATTCACACACTCATTTTATCTCTTTTGTGAGAAGAGATCCCACTCTGCTCTTTTTTTCCTTTCTTTTTTTTTATTACGTCTTTCTGCTCAGTGCAATATGGAGCTGCTCTGGCGTTTGCTCACACCCAGAGCTTGGGATTGATTTCAGGAGCAGGGATGGAAATGACTGACTCTTTAGAAGCCCTCACACAGGACAGCGCCGAGGACAGCAACCACGGAAAAGCAAAAAAAAAAAAAAAACTTGTCCGACTACTGCTTGCTTCTGTCGTGAGGACCTTTATTTTGAAACTCCCCATATTTTAGGTGTGAAAGTTGTAATGTTCACTAGCTGCTATCCTTTCCAGTGAGGAAAGGCGGGTCTTTTTTTAGATCTACTAGTCGAGAGTAATAATGATAAAAGCAATGATGTAAATGGGTGGGAGGGTGTAGTTTAGCGCTGTGGTACAGATGATGACAATTTTGTCGAGTTGTTTAAACAGAGTTAGGGCCACAAGTTGAAGTCTTTATGCAGATGAGGACATTTTACGAACTCCATTATCTTATTGCTATTTATATTTAATTATGTGGCTGTTGAACGCGTTTTCCAATTACACTGTAAAGCTATTAGTTATTTCAACAAATACATTACAAATTTAAGTTGCTTGATTAAGCAGCTTTTACTAGTAATTTTAAGTGGCAGTTACCGAAACATTCCTGATTGAGTACTCTTTACTGGGTATTCTGTCTTCACAGTACAAATAAAAATTACAAAATTAAGTCAGTGTCACTTAAAATGACTAAAGCCACTTAATCAAGAAGGTTTTTGTGACATACAAACTTGAGTTAGTTTTACTTAAAATTTTTGATGTAATCAGTTTCAACAATTTAAAGTTAGATGAACCTTTTACAGTGTACGATATTCAGAATATTTTCAGACTTACCCCCTCCTCCCCCCACCACACACACACACACACACACACACACACACACACTTACAGAACCAGGGCATTATCCAGTCACATTTTTATAAATTAAGTCAATAGCATCACAGCTGTAGCTTCTGTGTTTTGTACTGGAAACTAGCTTCATGTTAGCTTTATGGAGAGTCCTTTTGTAAATAGCACGCCTCTGTAAATACCCCCAGATGTCATATTTATTATTTATTCATGTCACACGCACATTTCTCCTCTGGAGGTCACACAGTGTCCAGGGCAGGTTTTATTTATGGACCCTGGGTTGCTGAAATCCACACCTAGCATCTTTTCCGACGACCACTCGTGTACAAACAAGCACAATTTCCTCCGAAGGTCGATTTCGTTTTGACAACTTGATTTAGTTCCGCGGTGTGTTTGGATGTTAAAAAAACGAATTTGAACTTGCACTGAAGAGCTTAAATTAGCTTCACAGGGAGACCATAACTGCCCCCCCCCCCCCCACCCCCTTCCTAAGGCGTGCTGATTATAAGGAAGTTATCCTTGTAAAATGAAGCAGGTTTGTGTGAGATTAATCTTATCGAGGTTTTAAAGGAGCAGATGTTGTGTTGTGTTTTCGGGGCATCGTTGTGGTGCGATGAACTGCTGCTTTTCCTCTTCTCAAAGACAACGACCAAATAGACTCAACAACAGTGGCGGCATTATTTAAGACGACAGCCGAGCAAGTCGGACGAGGTACTCTGTGGTGGGTGGTAGTCCTGCTTCACTCCTGGTCCCAAAGAGGAGGCGAGGTATTTAAGTGGTAGTGTGTTAGGAGTAGAGTAAAGATGCAATATAAAGCATCAGGACTTTTATCCCAGCTCTAATACTAAGGCTGGGGTATCAACTTTATTTTTATCCAGGAGTTCTTTGTATTTTGTAATGCCTAATGTCTAGATTTGTCCAGGTATGGTAGGTTTGTGGTACATAAATATTCCTACTAGTTTTTAGAGCATGTACAATGTGGTTGTGAAACCCTACAGGGGATTTTTATTCCACTCCAGAAGCGAAGTCACACTATATCCTCAAAGACTTCCATCACTGCAGAAGTGAACACTCGTCTGTCAGAGCCTGTTGATTCTTATTGTATCCATAAAAATGTCCGCTTTTCTTCTCCGCATAGGTTCGTTTGAAATGTCAAATGCCCTGCTCATTTTTTTATTTTCTCATTGAGGGAAGGCAATTGCTAGCATAAAGTCTGATTTGTTTCTGGTTTATTTGATTGAACGGGAATATCAAATCTGAGAAATGTTGTCTTTCGAATGTGAAAAATGAATTGTTAATTGTTGTTCTTTGTTTATATATCATACGTATTATTTATTTCAGTAACACAGAGTACTCTGTGTTATGACCGGAAAACAGGGTTTAAATGTGTTTTGAATCTAATGTAATGCAATAACTATGAGCTTACAAATCTGTAAATATGCCGCTTTAATGATCAAAGACAAATTTATAATAGTTTAAAGAGATGTATTCAAATTGTAAATGCTGTCTGTCAATATGTGACACTGTAACAGCTTGTCATTCTTTATGAAATCATTCATTAATGACTATACAATCAATCAAAACAGGACTGTTAACATACGGAGCCCTACAGCTGTAATCATCATCACGGCCAGTTCTGCCACACAGCGTACTCAATTTACTATTAATCTGGTTTGTTTAAATCATTGTCAGATACTGTAGATTCTGCTTATAAAGTCTGCTTGAAGGGAGACCTTGATGGTTAGAATCTGAGGAATTCATTCTCTTTATCATAAAGACGTCATATCAGGGTAGAAATGTTACTGCACCTCAGTTAAAGATTTATTTTATAGGTCCCAATATTTCCTAATAGTTTCTTTAAAAGTTTCCCTGAAAGAACTAATGTAGTGTGATGGTAATTGACTAAGTCCCGCCCCTCTTTGCTCTGTGATCCAATAACATTTGATTAAGCCTTGGTCAACTTAGATATGCTATGTGCTAGGCTCCTTATCTTAAATTAAATAATGTTAGCAAAATGCTAGCTAACTAATGATTCCTGTAAATTAGCTCGCTAGTTTGCTAGCATTTTGCTAACATTAGCTTTCAGATGTAACTAGCTAGCTAATGATTTAATGTAGATTAGCCAGCTGGTTAGCTAGTGTTTTGCTTTGTAGCAAAATGCAGGAAACGAGAAAGTTGACGAAGGCTTGCTCAACTGTTATTGGACTACAGAGCAAAAAGGGGCGGGACTTAGAAAGGCTCAATTATGTGAAAGAATATTCTGAATAAGTATATAAGTACACAATTTATGTAAAAGACAGGAAATGGTGACTGACTTCCAGAGGAAACCCACTGTATGGAAGCCCACTTCCACCAGAAAAAGAAAAACAAAAAGATTATGTTAGGAGTGACAAAATAATCATGGTTATCTTATTATTATTATTATTATTATTATTAATAATTGGATTTTACTTGGTCAACATTATATGGTTGTATGTCAAAATTATGAAAACGCAACTCGAAATTCTGATGTTAAATCACAATTATGAGATGCTTGCTCAAAATTTTAACTTTTAAGTCAAAATCATGAGATGCCAAGTCACAATTATGAGAATGTAAGTTTTGTTGTTTTCTTTATTTTACCCTTTAAGTCAAATGTTGGACTATAAATATCTCTGACTTAGTATCTCTTAATTTAGACTTACTATCATAATCAAGACAGAGTAAAATCACACATACATACATTTTTGATTTTCAGAATTTTGACTTTCTATCTAAAAAACATTTTATATTGTTTATATTTGTCATTCCTGACATTTCTTTCTTTTCCTGGCAGAAATAGGCTTTCAGAATTTTAAGAGAGAACTTCTAATATCTTTATGTAAAACTGGCCAGATCCATTAAACCCATAATGAATATTTTTTTATAATTGGAACTTAATTCATCACATATTTTAATTGGGTGCTTGCCTATAGACACATTTTATATATCTGCATATTCACCTGACCTGCTGTGCACTGACTTGAAGACTCTTTCGGTTAAAATAGCAATTATTGATTGGAAGTCTACCAACTGCGCACTGTCTGTGTTTTAATTATAGTTGTTCCAGATCAATCACAGTTTCCAGGAGCCTTCCTAAGAATTTACACTAGCATATCAGTTTCTTTCTAGGAATTTTCTAGGAAGCCATTGGACCAATTAAATAAGGTGCTAACCAATATTTTTTTTATTTCTCCCAAATCCCAAAATGCTGATGACTGTTCCAAGTTTAGTTGCAAAACATCAACAGTTAGTCATTTTAATTAAACTTAATTAAGTGGATCTCTGAATATGTGTATTGTAGCATTCCTGGCTAAAACCAGTATCTGTCACTAGCCCCAAGTTCTTTTGTTGGTAGGGTGACTAAGATACAGATATTTACTTGACTTTATGTCACACACTATGTTGGCAGTTGGAGAAAAATAACTTATATATTCATATATCGTCCTTTAATGTTTAGAAGTGTTACCAGTATCTTTATAGCCCAGGGCATTCTTTCAGTTTATCATATATATCAGAAAATATCTGTATCATGCACTTTACCATTTAACAACTGATTCTACAGATTATGGTTTAATACATTCTGTGCTGCTATTCACTGCATGTACCTAACACCTAAACTTAGGGTACCATGTCTTTAAAACTAACCAAACTACCACAAAGACGCTCACATTTTGAAAAGAAGCGTCTTGTAGAGGAGATTTCTAAATAATTTGTGATATTCACATGGGTGATATTGCTGATGTACATATGTACAAAGATAGGTGTAAATGTATTTATATATTTTTTGTCTCAATCTGTATATCTGTTGAATATATTTTCATAGATCCTAGGTCTCCCTTGTAATCCCCTTTGTTTTGATGTGTTTGAGACCTCTGAAGCTATTGTCCTTTGTTTACTTGCATGGAGATATTTCAATATAATAAATTATTTATGGTAAATCTTAATGTACTTTGGGATGAGAGTCCAATGAGTTTTTAGATGGCACTGGATTTAGTTTGAACTGGATATCCTAGATGACTGCATGCTTGTTGCTAGTATAGGATATAAGAGATGGAGAGTGAGAGCGTTTGCAGACGATACGTTTGTCTACGTGTCTAAGCTTTACCTCTTCCTACACAAGAAACTTCTCAACAGAATGGTTTACTTTGTGTTTAGATGTTTCAAATGTAATTTTAGAGATAATTTTGCTACCTGAGCATTAATAAAGTTGTCTTTGCTTAAGGTAACACAAGCCTTGTCGTACAGTAAGTTTTTGTTGGACCTACAAACTCACACATGCATGCAGAAACTCACCTATAAGGGCTAGCCAGTACCTTTTTATGTCTATCATTTAACAGTGAATGAGTAAATGTATAGTTTCATTTAAGTGTCATATACATGAAGGCAGTGGTTGAAGAAGTACTCTGATCCTTTACTTATCCAGAGATCTGATTTTGTATTTGATTTATTTATGTTTTTGAAATATATTTTCTGGAGGTAAAGTATCAAAAGTAAAACCACTCAATGCAGAATGGCCCCTTTCAGATTGTCTAATAAGTATACAGTATATCATATATTGTGCTATTTTCTGACTGCTACTTAGCTTTGCCTTTTTTATTCTTCCTTTTTTGCAGGGCTAGGGTGAGGATAGAAACATATATCCAAATAATAATAATAAACACAATCCAGATCTTTCTGTAGTGTCAGGTCTAAATTACTTAAAGGGCTGGGGCTTGTGTTGGGGAACTCAAAAGTTTTTAAAATCCTGGCTACAGCTCTGAGTATAGGTGATACACTTTCAAGCCCATGGAGATGGCAGATGACTGACAGGTTGAGCAATGCCATTTAAAGATCAGCATCTACCAGCTGATCGGTGAGTGAAAGGCTTTCAGCTTGGACAGCCTCAAAGAGTGAAAATAAGGTCAGGTACATAAAAAATAGGAGAGTGGTGACAGAAATGATCTTGAGCTTTTACAAAAGCATCATTATTTGATCATTTTAAATAGTTTTACTTCATAACAGCTTCAGAGTCAGGCGTAACATCATGGACACCTTCCACCGCCTACATGAAGTCATGAGTGCCCTGGGACTGCTCCACCTGCGGTTGGTGAAGGAGCTACTGCAGATAATTTCTCACTGCTGCTGTCAAACATCACTGTTCTCATCAGACCAAAACTCAACACACTACTCACCTGTTAACAGGAGTCGGAGGGTTACTTTAAAGCTGCAAATAACTTTTTGTCATATTTGCTGAAGCTTTCACTATATCCTGACAGTAGAACATGAGACAGATAATCTGTGAAATCAGGTTCCTCTGGTTCCTCCTAGTGCTCCTAATGGCATTTACAAGAATCCACCGGGCCTGAACTAAAACAACCAATCAGAGCTAATCTTAGATGGAATTAGATGGAAAGATGCTGTGGGCTGGTGGCTTAAAGATAGTTGATTGTTGAGTCTCATTCACAGCGTCAATATTTGACGACCTGGGATACCTTTACAGTTTTATGTTTTATTTTCATCAGATTACTTTCTGACTGAATTTTGACTGAAAATGTAATGTTGCAAGTTGCTTAAAATATATCCAAACTGCTGACATTACTTCTCTTCTGCCTATCAGCTCAACTAACAAGGGGTTAAGTAGAGTGGTATTGAAGCAGTTTTATGATGACAATTACGCAGTATTGCTGCCAATACAGTATTAGTGCATCCCTACTAATTTACTTTTGGATTACCTCAACACTAAATATGCAAAGACAGACATGAGAAGAGAAATATCAATAAGATAGCATGTGTTATATAAGACAACAGAACAATGTGACCGTTAGAAAAGAAACTAAGATTTTTAGCATGAACAACGTGTCCTCTGCTCTGTGTATTTAGAATAACTTTCCTTGTCGGCAGTCGCTCAGAGACTATTTTCACAGCTGGAAGGCAGAGCTTGCTGTACTGTGATGTTGTTCCCTTTCTAAAGATAAAATAATGGTGACATTTTGAAAAGTGAAAGTATTTTTTCACTTGTCATGATAATGAACTGAACTGTAAGAGTAGCTATGGTTTCAGAGTGGTGTTGTGAGACTGTGCATGGTAGTATTTTGTTCTTTATTTTAAAATGTGTTTTAAGATTTGAATCCTGTTTATAATCCCCATTTTTGCTGACTGTAATCTGATTATGTATTTATGTCTGTAAATGTAATGGATTACAGTTACCTGTTTTTATATAATAATTATGTAACTCGGTTACATGTTATCTGTTACTCCCCAAGCCTGCCTGTTAGTTTACTGCACTACTTTCATAGCAATAGCAAACTTTGTTTTTGCTGCAGTAATTCCTTCCTGCTAACAGCAGCTAGCTGCAGAAACAAGAACCTTCATCCTCCTCCCGACTCTTTCTCAGGATGACTTTGTAACATCTGTCCAGGGATTACAGGCACTCTCTGGCACACTTACAGCCATGCTTATTAATGTGCACAGTCCCTTTCAAACAAAATAAAGGAATACAATTTAAATAAATTCCATTCCATAAAGTATAATTTTAGTTTAATTATGCATTTATTTATTAATCTCAACTTCCAAATTTCTCACTTATTTGTGAGATTGTTTCAGTCCACTTTTGTGTCTCTGTATGATTTAGGACCATGTTTTGTTTTTCAGTGTTTCATTTTGTGTATAGTAGATGATCCTAACGTAGTTTATATTGTAACTGTAATCCTCCAAACATAAAGCTGTAAAGTGAATTCCGCTGTGTCAGGTAGGTTTCATTTAACATTCCCATCAGTGGCTGATTTACAGACGTCACTGTGGCACTCTGGGTAACCGACAGCATGAGAAAATGTGAGGTGTGAGCCCCCTCTAGTGGTGAAGTACTGGTACAACAGTGCTTGACAGAACAGCTTTTTATCAAATCCAAACATTAAGTCAGGCTTGTATTCCAGTTCAGACATTTATTAAGTGCAAACGAATATTTATGACAACATTGAATGACAAAGAATAAACAGGAACATGTCTCCTGGATGCAAATGACACTTTGACACCACAAAGAATATTACATACACGGAAAAGCCATCTGTGAAAAATCCCCGCACAGACAGAGACACATAAATACTTTGCTTTATCAAAGGAGAGTTAGGTTATCAATAACATGGCAGTACGAGTCAATTCAGACTTTGAACACTTGGCCCCTAGAGATACACATGGTAAGGTTACATACAGGTGATACATGACGTTACTGCTGCTCAACCGCCTCCGAAAGCTCTCAGGTTTCCCTTCACCACCACTTTTCACTTCCCTCTCGACTCTAACATCCTCTCACGGCGACGTACAACAGGAATGAACAGAGTGTTACGGTTCAACACACCCGGTAAATAAACAGCATATCAATTTGACTTTGCAACTACTGACACTTTAACATTTCACAAGAACATTTCAAGTATTTTATTTGACTGACAGTACCAAACTCAATACTGATGTAGACTGTATTACTGGAGAGCGCACCCATCTCAGTAACGTTCCCCCTCCTGTCCACTGTGCCCTCACATACCGCTGTCTTCCACACATCCACGCTGTGTTTCACTGTGTGTGACCTCAGACCAGCTTTGAAGTCCACGTGTCCTTTTTTATAACTGACCACGTCTTTTCTTTCCCGCCAGGATTAAGACCTTTATCGTTCGTCAGTAGTACAGAGACCTGTCTGTAATTATAAGCCACAGTTGTTCCTCAGTCACATATTGTCAATCTGAATGGAAAAGATACCCTTTAACAAGCAATATCTATCAGGTATGATACAGTATATTTCATATCACCAGGATAATCACTAAATACATAAATGAGTGTTACATTTTTAAACACTGGCAGATCTGCCTGTTTCTAACATTACACTTAAACACATGCAAGTACAATATTTTACAAATTTTAAAACGTTAATCCTTAAGATCATCAGGTAAAAATGCCTCATTGTATATTATTATGCCCTTCACTGATAATGTTGGGATCAACCTGCAGATATGCGACGTAGTGTGCAGGAAATGCTGCATGTCGAAAGCAGAAGGGAGAAACCGGCTCGTCAACCGCTGGCTGCAGTAGCCACAGCATAGATATGACAGAGAAATACACTGCCACTGGATTATCATCCAGTTTCAAGTCAGAACAGAGAAGTAGGCACTGGTATTCCAACAAGCATACAAAGGAAACGGCGCCACACTTTTGGTAGCAGGCTTTGACAGAATGAAGCTGTTTTTCCTGAAGTGTCTTGGGAAGTGCGACTCCTTTTGTGGCTCCAGAGGGAGCTGCGTGAAGGCTGACAAACTGCCTCACGTGATGTCACTTGAGTCATCAAGTTTAAAAATGAAAAAACATCTGGGGGTGTGGAGACCTCTGTAGCCCACCCCCTCATTTCTGCTTGAGGCTACATTAGCCGCTACTAGCATAAAACACCCCAATCTCTGTCCGAACTGTCTGTGGTGAAGTTGCATTGTGGGTAACGTAGGCACCAGATGACAGGGAACGAGATTGTGTGGATTAAAAAAGATGACACCTCTGCTGCATCGATTCAGGCAGGAGTGCAATGCTAAATCAGTGGAGAAGTCTTTTAATGCTACGTGTCGTTTTAGCATCTTGAGCCTGACGTTCAAGCACCGCTGCTGTTGTATTAAGCTTTACTGTACATTATATGTACAGGAGTCATTTTTGTGTTTTGGTACTTATGTTTTTGTTTGTACTTGTGTTGTTTTTTGTTGATAGAGATTATCACAGCATAGACTTTATATAATGGATTATCCTCTAATGGGAGTCAATACAGAAAAGGCAGGCAGGCAAAGACATATATATTGCAGTATATATTACATTGCTGTGTGCACTGGCCGCCACTGGGTGTCCCCAAACCCATCAAAACATAACAACAATCTGAAGGATTAACAGTTTCAAAACACAAACAACATAAAAAAACACAGTTTACCAGCAACTGTAACAAGTAAATCATAGTCGTAGCTATCTTCTAAATAAATCTGTTGTATATTTAAAGTGATTGATCAAACATTAGTCTCTCGTCTGTCTGAGATCTGATTTCCCTCTATGCACCCTAAAGGTTTACCCTGAAGCTCCAGCATTAAGGCAGGACTGTGAACACACTTCAGTGTTTGTGTGGTCTTTACACTACCTCCAACATTAACTATCCGAGTAGACTTTGAAAACTCTGAAGCCAAATCTAGAGCCGAGGAAGTAAAAAGAAAAATAGCTCCATGTCTCTCACTTCCTTCCCTGCTTTCTTTTTTTCCTCTTTCACCCGCGTCTGTCAGACAGAACTTTCCAGCGAGGGGATGCTGACTGAGACAGACGTGCCATCCAAAAGGAGAAGTCAGGCCTTGTAAAAACTGGCACAGCATTTGGCCTAGTTGTCGACATGCTTACCATTTACGCTCTCACGGAACCACGTTTGTTCGGGATAATGGGCGATACTGTCACAGACACAAAGAGCCCGTTCAAAGTTCCAGTCGGCCCCCCTGCTACAGTCATATGGATATGGAGTCGCCACTGAGGTGGCTGGGCGGCAGGCTGAGGCTCAGAGCAGGACTGAGGCCCGTGCTGAGAGCGGGCTGGGGGGTTGGGGGTGACAGGTCCGTGCTGAGCTCATTCAGGTTGGCCTGGGCGGCAGAGGTCACGGTGAGGTCGTTGAGGTTAGGCGTGGGGTCGAGGGGAGCCGAAGGCGAGGTGTCGCTGGTAGCGATGCGGCGGAAGACGAAGTGGAAGGGGGTGGCCTGCGAGCGGCTGTGGAGCTCCGCCTTGATCTTCTGAGGGTGGTTGTCCGGCGCCAGCTGCTGGCTGCTGCCCTCCATCAGCAGGAACAAGCCGTAGTTCTCGGGGTCTGGCACTTTAAACTTGTAGGCACACAGCTGGCACACCTCCTCCACGGTGGCGTAAGGTCGGACCTGAAGGGTCTTGGCCGTGCAGCCGCTGTCCAGCTCCTGCAGCGCCACCCGCAGGTAGTTCTGAGGGACAGTCAGATAAAAACACAATGAGACAAACATTGTAGCTCCATCACAGACTGACAATGATGCTGGGGGTTTCCATTTGTTATGTATTTATAATCTAATCATGTGTTTTGCATTGAAAAGTTATATGTAAAAACACACATCATTACATGCTTTACTTTGTTAAGTTCTCCAAGCGAGGTCTAGTGCATTCTCCAAGGTCTGGGGTCTTTCTCTAGCACACAAACTGATAAATGAACTGTGGAGGGGTACGGTGAGGTTTGTTTTATTTTCTTTGAAGGAGTAGAGGTAAAACATTAATGTGCTGTTGAACATCCTCATTAGTGTGTTTCTGTGGTTTTCAGTTTGCTTGTTGGTATATATGTATGTATGTGTCCTAGGGCTGGCCGATATTGCTTAAAAATAAAATCTCAGATTTTTTCACACCAAACCCGATTTACGACTTTAATCGTTTTTTTTGTAGACTGTTTTCTAGCGGGTGTTTGTGGGCTGCGGTCCTGTATATCACGCAGAGAGCAACATTTCTCCCACTCGGCTGCATGCCTCTGCTGGTGCTGGAATAAATTGGTCGTCCTGCTACCTTTGGTTGCAACAGCTTTCAAACAAACTTTGCAGTGGGTCGCTGTTTGTTCGCTATCGGACGCCACAAAACCAAACCAGTTCCAAACAACCGACGACACTGTGCCTTTTTTGGGGATGAGCTCATCCTGGCTTGCTGCCATGTTGTGTTTATCTGTGGAGAGGCGGGGGGGAGGGGTCAGCGCACTCTGACCTAGGGGAGCCCAAAGGGAGCGCCGGTGTTGTGGAAGTTCAAGAGAAAACCAATTTTAACTAAAAATAAATCGTGTTTAACTACAATTTCGAGTTAATCGATAAAATCGATTTATCGCCCAGCCCTAATGTGTCCTTTATGGCACATTATAAAAGGAAGCTGTTACAAGTATATCCCTGCAACGCCCTGCCAAAAAAAGGTGTTACTAAAAAATAAGGCATTAAATGATAAATGTTAGAGGTAAATGGACCTGTACTTGTATAGCGCCTTTCTAGTCTTCTGACCACACAAAGTACTTTTACACTACGTGCCACATTCACCCTTTCACACACACTCACACACCGATGCACAGCATCGGGAGCAATTCGAAGTTCAGTATCTTGCTCAAGGCATGTGGCAGGAGGAGCCGGGGATCGAAACAACAACCTTCCGAGTAGTGGATGACCCGCTCCTCCTCTGAGCCACAGCCGCCCCTCTAGTAGAACTGTGTTTTACCTGGAAGTCATCAATGGAAGGGGCGGAGCGCTGGGTGGTGCGTCGGCGGTGCCACTGGTGGAGTGTGTCCCTGGTTTCAGAGCTCAGCACTCTGGCTGCCTGCTCCTCCTGGAAGTTTCTGATCAGGGACATGGCTCCATAGGCGCTGGTCAGGTAGTAGCCACCTGGACACGTTTACATAGCGGGTTAAAATCAAACATTCGTGGCTTCACGTTCTTGATCAGAGTGTGGGGTGGTTATGGTGGAGGTTTTCCAGTTCAAACAAACAAACCTTCTCCGTGGAGCAGTGAGGGGTCCAGCAGCTCCATCATGTAGAGAATCTCATTGTCCAGCTGGGGCATGTCGCACTGCGCCAACACATAGGTCAGCATGGGCAGGAAGTCATCAGCACCATACAGACGGCCTGAGAGACAGACAGAGCAGCGCTGTGAGATCCTGCAGTTTCTGTTCCATCATTCGATGCTTTAACACATCTTAAACTCTAGTTAGTGATTGTAGGGTTAATGTGTGTATTATACTGCAGGGACATTCACCTGAATTGTCCTCCATGATGGTGTAGATGAGTTTGCAGACTCTCAGCAGCATGGTGACCTTCTTCTCAGGGGAATACAGTTTACTCATGGTGTGGAACTTGTGCTTGATCTTCTCTATGGCCAGGGGGTCCGGAGGAAGCGCGTCGGCCACGCCCATTTCCTGCGGCTGCCGGGCCTTGGCCAACGACAGGTTCTCCTTCAGCTCCTGCCACGCACCGCTGCGCACCTGGAACTCCTTCAGGGCCACGCTCACCACCGGTTTGAGGGGCTTCAGGACGCACTTGTGCATGGCCTTCTCCAGGACTCGATCTGGGGAGAGGAGGAAACAGGTGAGCCGGCTGGACTTTTCACACATTTTCAAATGTAACACTGCTCAGTAGTCAATTGCAACTTCATATAAACGTTACAAAGATTTTATCGAGGCCAAAGCCAAAAAATCTGCTTTCCCCCAAAAAAAACAAACAAAAAAATTCTGTTTGATGCACAATAAAAATGTTTTTTTAACCCCAGTGGAGGAAATATTTATATTTATATATATTTAATCTTTGAGGATTCTGGAAATTCCTTCAAAACAGCAGAAAGTGATGTTAAATGACCTTCTTGGTTTTTCACATTTTGGTACATGAGGAGCACAAAGTAGAACATACACATTAAAAGCCCTGAAAACATATTTCATATTTTCCAATGAGCATCTTCCTCTAAGTGTTAAAGTGTAAATCTCTCAACTTCTGATCAATCAAGCAATATCAGGACTAAATGAATGACTTCCTGTTAGTCCCACCCACTCACAGTGTAAGCCCAGCCCACTCAGTATGAATTCAGTTGGTCGAACAGGTACAGATAAGGGTGTACTCACTCATTCCTAATATTTAGTCATAAATAATGAATGTTGGAGATAAAAACCAAGCTTTCAGGGGCTTTAAGGCAGCATTCAACGGTGCAACACAAACTAGCTCTGTTGTGTTCCTGTGTTTGGTTTACATGCTGTATATTCATGAAATTAATAATTAAAAACACATTTATGTCTCTGTTCTATTTCAACTTTAAGATGCCCTCTCATGTGCGTGCTGAACTATGCCCTTGGCTACAGCGCTGCATGTGATCTGTTTTACACAATGTGACAACATGGAAAAGAAAGGAACACCGTGAGCTCTCGCTGAACTTCCTGAGAGGAATTTGTGAAGCAAAGGCCAGTGTGTTCTCTTTTTTTGATTTAGAGATACATTTGATGGACATAAAGTGGACTGAGCTCTGGTAGAGAGGCAGAGCACAAGGACCGATAAACAAAGCTGAAAAGTTCAACCCTAAACCCTAAACCCTAAACCCTAAACCCCTGCTGCAGGAGAAGCTAGAAATCACTGCAGAGACCACAGAAGCTCAACCTTTGCCAGCTGGATGTGTACTCAGGAACACTGCAGATATTTGGAAGGAAATGTGCTGCCCCTCCTGCGTTTGTTTGATATCTGTGGGACAACACAACTCTCAGATAACAGCACTGTACAAAGCTCCATAGATCACTCTGACTGGTAACTATTAGTATTCCCCCCTCTGAAGGCTATTGGCGACCATAAACTGTAGATGTGTCAGCATTCAGTTTGTCAATCCGTCTACTGGAAGTCTGTCCTGACGTCACTTCATTGCCTGTCATTCCTTATCAGCATTGTTGTGGACAGTGTGAGCCAAATCTGCATTAGTCTGGACCTACAAGCTTCCTGGAGACCGTCAAGGTCAGATCAGCACATGTGTGAAACCCAAGCTTTCACTGTTCACCATCAAAGTCCAACACAGAGGAGTGTGTTTGCTCCAGAGTGCAGAGTGGGTTGTGCGCACCCACAGAGCGACAGTGTCAACATCAGCTTTTACAAGCTCAGCTCGTGCAGTCTGACTAACACAAACCATGATATCATAATACAGGATGGATGCAGAGAGGGAGGCCAAACCACAGCACTGCTGAATAAGGACCACGTGTGAGTGCTGTCTGTGTGTGTTGCTGACTTTCCTCCAGAAAGGTTGAAGTCAGCAGGTTTTTACGGCTGAGCACATCTGCAGACACACATTTTACTTTCCGCCCCAGCCGGACGACATCCAGCTGCATCTGCCATTCCCAGCCATCAGTGTCTGTCAGCCTGTCATTGTAGGGTGTTGAATTCCTCGCTAGTCTTAATGGGAAATTTCTCCACACTCGCATTACTGCTATCCGCTGATACCAATGCTGGAAATGAAAATCACAGCACTATCTCACTTCCTCATTCCATAACCACATAGTAGCTGTAGATAGTTGCCAGTAAGTAGGGCAGCTGGCGAGCTGAACCGCCATTGGCACAACCAGTGTTGTTTTTGTGTGCCACTAGTTTTTACTGGCGTGAAGACTATAGACTAAACTGTTGTTTCTGTTGGTCCTTGCTACTTCATTTCAGTATTCCAGGATGATGATTTTCAACTTATTCTGACAATCATCTTTGCATCACTTTTATCTTCCAGGTGAAATCCCGAAAATGTTACTGAAACTACCTGCGGCTCCAGTGAGAAGTCCTGCCCATACTTATATACCTAACTTTATTTACTCCACTCTCACTGAGACAGAATAAAACTGTGTTACAGTGAATATTTATAAAGGCATTTTGTGTAGATTCCTGGCACAACCTGCAGCAGGTACAAGGAAAAACCAAATGTTTTTAAGGTAAGTCTCAGGTACTGCCCGAAACCACTTCCTTGCTTTTTGTACCACTCCTTTTTAAAGGTTGCAAGCATTCCGAGGCTCATTTGTCACACACACCAATAATAAGTGCTGTGAAATAAATTGTGGCCTGCTCTTCGGCTATGCTATGTGGAAAAATAGACTTTGAAAAGCAATGCAAAGGATACAAATTCAAGACGAAATCAATTTACTGAACTGAGAAACACACTAAACCTGAAACCTGAAAATGTGCTGGAAAAAGTACATAAACAATGAAGTTGGCCCCAAATCTGGGGTCAAATCTGGAGAATGAATATCCTATGGGGATCAATAATAATTAGGATAACTTATTGATTATCAAAACAACTGTTGATTCATTCCTGTCATTCAGCTTACAGCAGGGCTGCAACAATGAGTCGACCGACAGAAAATCAACCATGGCCAACTATGTGACTAACACTACCAACTTTGATAGTCAAGGAACTGTACCAGAGAGGCGCTGCTTCCAGCTTCTCCAGTGTGAGGTTTGTCACTTTTCTCTGTTTTGTGTTTCTCCAGCAGAGTGCACTGTGATTTACAATACTGTGGCAATCTGCACAGAGTAAGAGAGAAGAAGCTGCTCTTAGAAATGTCGCCTATGATTGGTTGGTAATGTATATGTTCAATTATTTAACATGTTAAAGAATATTTCACTTAAATACTGTTTGATAGAGTTATTTGTTCAAGAAAGAAGCCTTCTGAGCACCTTTGAATCCTCGTATCAGTGCACAAGAAATTTCTCCACTCTAAAATCTGCATCTGTCTGGCTTTAATTTGTCTTACGTTTTAAGTGCACAGTATGCACCCTTTTCAGCTTAGCAACAGACAGCTCTTATTTCTAGTGCTCCTCTGTCCCCCAATACTTCCCCTAGAGCTCAACAATCACTGGACTCCCCACAGGTCTGTTAAAGTGATTAAAAACAGGGGAACGCAGTGCCAACATTCCTCGCTCTTGGCATGAAGTTAAGGGTTCTGTTCATGTATTTCTAAAGGGGAGATAAGTCTAGATTTACAGACAAATTAGACTTGCGTGTCTTGCAGGCTTGTCGGAGTGTGAGTTTTCCTGTCGTCATTAGTTTTCCAGACTTCAGAGGAACGGCCAAGACTGACTGCTGGATTTCTGTTTTTTGGTTTCAGAGTGAATTCAGGCAGTAAAAAATACACAGGTGTCTTAAGGTCAACTTATCAGCCAAAGCAGTCGCACACAAAAACGCATCTTGCCACGAAACAGGGCCTCTTCCCGCTTGATATAAACATCCTCTCACCAAACATCCTCCCTGTCCCCTTTCTAGCCTTTACCCAAACATCTTGTCCTTGACTGTTGTAATGTCAAAGTGGTAATCCTCACATACCTTCTACTCTTTTCTGTTTGTCACTCCTTCCTGGCATTTATGGCCGAGACCTTGTTATTTTTTGAGTTTTGAGTTTCTTCACAGCAGATAGTAAAAACACATCACAATCACACACACGTAAACACACACAGAAAGGCGAAGACATGTAGACAAGACTCTGTCTCCTTGGAGTAAAAATAGCCCAGTGTAATCAGGAGAGGTGTGTCCTGTCATAGATTACTTACTTCTTGCTTCCATGATATGCACCTTTAAAAATAGCTTTTGTTGGGTCCTAAAATCAAGGTTGAGCGATCAGTGCAAATAAAATCCTTTATCACGGTATATCAGCATTTAATATCACAACATACATATATATCTTATCGTTATAACTTTTATTGGTAATAGTTTGAAGTTTTTTGGAGAGCTAAATGAGAAAATCAATACCACTCTATCGATCTATACAGTAAATATGAAGCTACAGCCAGAAACCTGTTAGCTTTTCTTGGCACAAAGGCCGGCAACAGGAGGAAACAGCTACCCTGGCTCTGTCCAAAAGCAATAAACTCAACCTCTAAAGCTCACTAAGGAACAGGGTGTGTCTCATTTGTTTAAGTGTAAAAATGACAACCTTTGGTTTTATGGCAGACTAATGTATGCTGGCTCTAGCTCCATTTTGAATGGCTGGATATGAGAGTTGTATCCCTCTCCTCATCTAACTCTGCCAGAAAGCCAGTATGTGTATTTCCAAAATGTAACTTTATTTAGTTGAATTAAATAATCTATTTTAATCTAGTGAACCTGACAAATCAAGATACTTTAGAACACATTGATGCAATAACCCTACACAAATCCAATATTATATTCTCAAGGTTTGTTTTTGTGAGTAGCATAAAGGGAACTACAACTCAATCTCAACAACCCTGTGTTGTAAAATGATAAATCTACCTTGTAAACTGCTGATAAAAATGAGCCTTGATGGTAAAGAGTTCTAACTCCTGAGGGCCAGATATTCAGCACTTTGCTTGAGCTCTTCTGGGTTGTCAGTGGGAAGCTTTAAGATTCAAGATAATATCTGAGACCCTCTAACACGAATACAGCAAAGCCCCGTGTGTTATCCAGCACCTCATACGGAGCGTCATGGCCGGTGGTCTCAGGCTGTCTGCTGGAGGAGAGTGTGGGATGAGTGGAATACAAGGAACTCTATTCTGCCCCCCACACCACTCCCCTCTCCCCGCCTGAACATCCTGAACCCAAACACACACATGGCTGGATTGCTGAGTGAGCGCTAGACAAGAACAACAACAACATCTTCCATATTTGAAACTCTCTGTCTCCTCTTAAAAAGAGTGATATTATTCACTGACGTCCTTTCTTTGCCCCATCATGGATGTGTTTCCCTTCACTTCTGCACATTTGTTGTTTTCTTTCTTTCTATGCCAACTCTAAATGTGCTTAATTTTGCGAAGGTTGCATTACTTTTCCTTGTACTTATAGTAGTATTCCAGCTAACTGACCAAACTGTGTGTGAAGATATAATTTACATTAAATACCGCATGAAAGCACCAGCAGTCAAACCCCAAATACTGGCACATCACTTTAAAGCAAGGGGGGCAGAGGAGAGAGAGACTGGATTTGGAGGAGAGGGAGGGAGCAAAAGAAACGCAAAAACCGAGAAAAACTAAAAACAGAGAGTGTCAGAGGAAGGCAGAGCGAGACAGACAGACAGCGGAGGGGGCTTGCCTCAGACCCTCTCGCTCTGATTGGAGAGCTGGTTTAAAAGAACTGGAGTAAGAGATTGTACGACTTGGCAGACGGTCACCCTAATGCATCTGGGCTGGCTTGCCTTTGGTTTTTTTTTTCTTGACTCGAACAGAAAACACTCTCTGAAGCTGCCACAACAAAAAATTGTGCAACTTTTCCAAGGACTAAAACCGCAGCAGTTCCCAGTGTAATGCTTGTGAAAAACATGCCATTCAGAAAACAGGCAACAGAAGACATCATGCCAGATTTTTTGGATCTGCAGATACTGTTAATAGATGTCCATTAAACATTATCAAAAAATATGATATTATTAAAATTGCAATACGGCCAAGTGCAATATCTGCATCACAGAAGCTGCCATTTTTGTTAAAGTTAATTATAATGAAGTACTGTAGTGCTTCAGAGATACTCTGGACTACAAATCTTATTCTCCAGTTGTAGAAAAACACGTTTGTTTGGTACAAAACCCCAAGTAATGTCACATTATCTGTTTTTTTAAGTGAAAATAATAATTAAAAAAATAATGTATCTTGACTTTTAGTATGGGTCAAGCTCCAAAAACACTGGATCCTACATTTCCCATTATGCAACTGGATATTCTTTTATTAGACCTCCCCTGTGTGATCATTAAAACCACACGTCTCGAGTTTGTAATGCAGCCTTTCTACGCAGTAGGAATGTAAAGTCTGAAGCACAGACTACGATAATGTTGATGACATCACTATGACATCAGCAGGATTCTTTTTTCCAGACTTTGGCAAGCTCCCGCCAGAGCCACAGAAGGCATCATATCATCATCAGTATTACTCCTCCTAATGAGGAAACTGAACTTTATGTGTAAAATTGGTGAATCAGATTCTGATATTGCCACCAACAGACATTTCCAAATAAGTTTAGATATCATTTATAAATAAAATTATAACAATTCAACACTGAATACAGAACTAACAAGAAAATGTAAAAGGTTAATGTTCAAGTTATGAGATGACTGCTGATCAAGCAGAACAGTTTTCACTCATAATTACAGCCCTCTGGTGAACTATTTGAACGGGGCCAGTAGAAATAGGTTGGTTCAACAGGCCCCTTCCTCCTGAGATAAAACCCTCTTTGTGCTCTCTGTTTACATGTTACTCTGTCCAACGTCTGATCCAGCCACTGAATCTTGGCCTAAATGATTCAGAACGCTCTTCCGGCAGGTGTGTGTGTGTGTGTGTGTGTGTGTGTGTGTGTGTGTGTGTGTGTGTGTGTGTGTGTGTGTGTGTGCGGGGCTCTTTCTGGTTTCCCCCTTTCATGTTGCTGTCATGGTATTGTAAGATGCAATAAAGGGTGGATACAATAAAAGGGCAATAAGAGGGAAATGCAAATATTAGTATGGAATGACTCAGTTTCAAAGGTACCACTGATTTTACTCTGCGTTCACCTGTCCTTACTTTGTTTTTCAAATGGATACTGATTAATCAGCATGCATGACAACACACAATTAAAAATTTAAAAAAAAATTAGCCTGATGGCTATGGCTTCACCAGGAATGTATACATGGACATAAACACACGTGCACACATCCAACTGCAAACATGTGAGCGTGTGTTTTCCGATGTCCTCACTGCTAAAATACTGAAGCGAAACTGCTGTGTCTGCATTAAACACGCTTTGTGTGACATAGTGTTTCCATAAAAACTAGGATTTCTCCATAAATACATCACACTTTCACACTTAAAAATACTCAATTATTTGTGAACACACACAAAAATGACTCCAACCAGCCTCCCAGTTAAGTTGAGGAGGAGGTCATCATGCTTAAAAAAAATGTTGCCATCGAGCAGTCCCAGCATGTCAGCAGTAATCTAACACTTGACCAAACCTTTAGGCACACAACATATACCCTTAATCACTAGAATTAAAGCATTAAGCTGCCATTGGTTCCAGAAAGAGGTAACAGTTACATTTGCAGTGCACAAGCATTGCTAGTAAAACTAGTTAAGTACCAAGGTTGACAACATAGCCCTCAGAGCTAGAATAAAACATGGTGGAACTATTTGGTACTCACCGATCTGGTCTTCAGGAATGAGGCTCTCGATTGGAGGCTCCAGCTCGGAGCTCTGTCGCAGATAGCTCTTCATCTGTGTGATAAACTGCCGCAGAGTCTGCACCAGCTCCAGTCCAGAGGCGTAGCCCTGCCAAGCCTGGGTTCCTGCACCCTCGCCCATGTAGCTGAGGTAGTCCTGCACCAGGGAGCCGAAGTACGAGCCTTTATCCCTGGACAGCTCCATCACCCTGCGGATCGCCCTCTTCTCAGGTGTCAGCAGCGAGTTGAAAACACCGCTCATCTTGCGTAGGTGCCCTCGCAGGGCATTCTGCAGGACCAAAGCGCTGGCACTGGGGCGACGCTTTGTGCGGTGGCCCGGTGGCACCATGGTCAGGTCCTGGTCTTGGTCCTGGTCGCTCTCAAGACTCACACCATAGTCAGGCTCCTCTTCGTCCTCATCGTCCTCATCGTCGTCGTCCTCTTCCATGCTGCAGTAAGGTAGGTGGGATGGTGGGAGGGAGAGGGGGAGGTGGGTGTTGAAGTCAGCCACAGTGGGGGGGCTGGGGTCATGGAGAGGAGGAAGGAAGAAGGCTGAGGACTGAGAGAAATCCAGAGAGTCTGAGGAATCTGTGGAAATGCTCATGTCACTCAGCCGCTGGCCGCCGCCGCTGCATTCTTCGACTGCTTCCTCTTCCCCTCCTGTCACCTCTGCCCGTTTGCCTGTTGTAATCAGTGAAGGGTCTGGAGGACTGCTGGAGTCCTGGGCGGGGGTTCTGGTAAGATTACGCCTGGACAGTTCGGCCCTAATAAGGGCCTTTTCAATGGTCTGGTCCTCTAGCGCCAAGTGGCACTGGGCATCCTCCTGGCTGGATGATGGTGACGCCTTGGCCCGACGTGGGGAGGAGGAGAGAGATGACAGAGAGATGGGCAGGGACGGCCGGGGGATGGATATGGGGGAACTTATGCTGAGTCTCTTGGGAGGGGAAGATGAGGGGCTGATGCTTAGCGAGGAGCCCAGACGAGAAAGGAGGCTGCTGCCCCTCTCTCTCTCTTCCCCCTTGTCCTTGGGGACATTGATCCAAGGGATTTTCTCGGGCATACTGCGCTTTCGGAGAGGAGGGGCTGAGCGTCGTGGCGCAAAGCGAGGTGGGGGTGGACGAGGAGGTGGGGACCGTGAAACAGTGTCTGCCACACTGAGCTTCTGACTGCTGCTGCCAGTTTCACTGTTATCGTCCTGTAGCTCTGTGGTTCTGCCAAGGCTCTGCAGGTTACTCTGACCTGACTGGCTGCTGTCACTGTGATCTGAGCAACAGACCTGAGGACCCGAGTGTTGGGTGTCCTTGCTGTTGGTTTCTAGGCTGTTGCTAATGGGTTCTTCCCTCAGGCCTTGCTTTGCTGTGCCCGGGAGAATTGAAGTGGAGCTGTCGTCGCTGTCTGGTTGGTGAACCTTTAGGAAGAGAGGGTTGATGAAGCAAAGAGCTCCATTGGACTGGCAACACTCGAGCTCAGATGGTGTGCGAGTTCTAAGCTGAGGGCGCCCTGGGATGGTTGCCAAGGAGACTGGTCTCTGGGCAGGGGGAGGCGGTCTGTCCGGAGCAGCTATTCCTGACAAGGAGAGTGAGCCCTTCCTCCTGTGACACAACTGAGCGTCCCAGAAGCCTGTGTGAGACAGTGAGAGAAATATTCTACCTATATTTGGTGGGCAGGGTGTGATAAAACAAGTAAGTGCCAAATATAATATGTCTGGGCCCTGTCTCATCCCCGGGGTTAGCAATGCCATGAGCCAAAAAACATTTGTACAATAGTACAGCGTTACCTTGGCCTATCTTGGACCACTGATTTGGTAGCTGCCTTTTCACCAGCTACTAACTGTTTAAGCACTGAACTCCTATGCAAAGCAAACTCTGGATGCAGTAGAACTAGAGATATTCCATTTGTTATTCAATGCATCCTTCTTCGTTGTTAAAACCTGGCACGTACATTAAACACAATAAAATCAGGGGTACTAGTAGCAGCTAATGTAGCCTGCAGCCTCCAGCCTCAAGCAGAAATGAGGACTTAGTCTTTAGCCCCAACTGACGCTGACTAAAGTGATCACTTGAGGACAGTTTATAAGACTTATCAGAAAAGGCTTCATTTCCACTTTAACAAATACCCATTTCAGTTATTTACAGTAGATCATGGAACAAGCACTAATTTTCAACACCAACAATTAGAAGTGTGACCGTATCATAATTGGCACTAATTTGGCATATTCAGTTCATAACATATCTTATTTTGGTTTTGTAAACTACACTAAACTAAAGAACTAAATAATTATAGTCTCAATAGTCTAATATGGTCTAAATAAAGTCTATGTCAAGGCATGCAGGAACATACATTCAAACGTGTTGCAACCGGAGAGCTTTGAGAGTCTATTAGTTGTTGCCAGCTACCAAAACTATGCTAATGAGACTGACTAGTTCATATTATCATCAGTCCTATAAAATCCCCTGTTTGGGACCACAAAGCTTTCCTAGCACGCTACACCAACACCAAACAAAGGGAAGTGATTACTCAGAAATAGTGTCACCATTGTTGACAAAGATTTATCTGAAAATAGCTCAGGTAAAGGTATTTGCAATAACTAGAGGTAGTCTAAAACAGACTGAGGTGTAAATGCTTCTCCCCACAGCCCGACAGCAGATTCAGACTCACAATATTTTTTCTTCACAAACAGGGTTTTGGAATTTAGTTGGGACAATACTGACTGATTACTTTCTGACCATGTGCAAATGCTTGAACAGCGAGAATAATAGCCTAAAGGTGACTGTTTAGTGTTTTTCAAAGTACATGGATCAACAATTTCGCTTTTGTTCCTCTCTCTGTACCCCCCAAAACTCTGGCACACATTGAACCGTGTTTTGTGTACCCATACACCCCTACCAACAATGAAACAGTCAGTTATCAGCTATTTGTCTCCCGCTGTTCTTTTGGTAGCTGAGAATTGTATATTAAAAGCCCATCGCTCTACACCACAGTGAGTGGCAGCAAGGAAAAAATATATTGCAAAGAGATTAACTTAAATATGCCCACTTATTATTTTTCCATTCCCAATGACTCAATGCAAGTCAACTGGCCTCAAAAAACCCTCTAAATGCTGCTTAGTGCAAAATCACTGTTGTTTACTTTTGCAGTCTGAGAGGATGAGCCTCCTGGAGAGCTTTTTCCTAGCAAACAACAAAGAGCAAAATAGCACTAAACTACTGCAACACAACACTTTGTGGAGTCCAAGCCGTACCAGACAGAGCAAAACAAGACACACGACAGCGGGAACAATACCGCATGAGGAATACTAGTGCCAGACACAGAGCAGCTCCTTCACACAACTACAGAGCAGAAAAGAGAGGGCAACAATACTCACTGTGATGCCGAAGCTCAGTGACACACAGACGAGCTGTTGATCTCACGCTCGGTCTAACTCCTCTGTACACTTCTGATGGTGTCGAAGAAGACGCACTGCTGTATCTGCACAAGCTGAAACTCGACTGTCTCCTCTCTCTCACTCACGCTCAATCTCTGTTATGACTCATCCTGTTAATGTGTGTGTGGGAGGGCTGTTAGTGCAGTAGTCCCACCCCACTCACTCCCTTTCAGTAGAAGTTGCGTGATCTGTCTTTCTCTGAGACACTTTGACAAAGTTTTTCCTATGTTCCACCTACTCTACTCTTGTTTACTCTCACTTCTATTAATATCTTCTGTTTTCTCTGTTGTCAATATTATATGATTAGATACAGTTTTGATAATTCTGATTGTTTTGTTTTTTAGACATTTCACAATTTGTTTTTTTTACACTTCTAACTCTGTGGAATAATTTTGATTACTCAGTTAAACATAAAGGTGTGTTCTTGCAAGTATATGCAAAGCACAGCAAAGTGCTGCTGTACAGTGTTCAAACACACACACACACACACACACACACACCTGGGACTGAGATCAGAGGAATGTGGTTTGGCGTGGTTGATGTAAGAACTGGGAAAGTCAAGGGTAAGTCAAGAGCAACTTCTAGAGAACTATAACAGCTGAACTGGAGCCAAAAATAGATAGCTAGCACTCTGTATGGGACATAAAGTCAGTCACTTTGGTTCTTCAGGAGCTGGAAATATTTCAAAAACTTAATTAATGACTGGGCTTATGTAGTATTTATAGCCAATATGTAGATCAAACATACATATAATTATAACATGCCAATGTGTGTTTGTCCCTGATTTCCGTGCTGCATGTCTCTTACCATGCTCCAACACTTAAGCTGAGTGATAAAAGTGTTATCTCAAAGGTCAGAAGAGGTCTACAAGAAGTTGGGACATAAATTCAATCTTGACCTTGGAAATAGTTGTTTATCAATCTTAATTCAGGATCAACATACTAGTTTTTTCTGCAGCTTTCAACTACCCCTAGCAGCCTTCATGAAGAACACTTCATGATGTTAAATCCAGCCATCTGAAGTTCCCAGGTCATTGTTTAAAGACTACAGGATTAAATGTTCAACCAACTTCAACCCATTTTCTTCTCTTATTTATTATGCTACTTTATTAGCAAGACATAGCACTTTTGAAACGAAATGCTAAACTATCAAAATTGAAGAACCAGCTTGTTCAAACTGTGCCACTGACTGAGCACTAGATAAATGCAATTTGCCTCTTGTGCTGTTCAGTCAAAATACAGCAACTAATCAACCAAGCTTCAAGGTTGGATTAACGACAAAAGCAAGGGAAAAGCAAGCAACTTCTTCAGAGCGCCATACCAACAGGCTATCTGTATGGCAATAGGTTGTGGTAATAAGGTTGTTCCCATACCAGTACTGGAAATGCCTCCGACGCAGTCTAAAATGCTGGATCGGGTATCGTCAAGTATACAAGTCTATGTGCATATCCAATATCATGTCATTTATTATCCCCAAAATGGATCCCTGCTACTTCCCAGCAGCGCCCCATTTGCCTTACCCTAACCCTATCCAATGTCAGTCTTCATGCCTAAACCTAACCAACCCAAATAAATTAAGGCAACCGGTACTAGCCAATCAGAGTGAGAGTAGGACGGGTCATGGAACACAATGAAAGGAGAACGTTTAAAAAGCTTTCTGATGCAACACATACACTATGGGGACAGTGAAATGAGTTAGTTAAATGAGCCTGGCTGATCCCGACCCAAGCCAGGTCTTTAAAATAAAAGCCATGAAATTTAAATTCAAATTATGCAAACTGACATATATTGAAACTGGGGCTGGATAGTATTCCAGTGTAGAAGCACTGGTTGGTTACTGGGAATGTGTGAAAAATAAGTTGGGGGAACAAGTGTGTGCCTGGTTGAGCTTCTCAATAATCATTAATCATTTTACTTCATAACTTCATAATGACCACAGGGGCCTTCACAAGGGATCACAAAAAGATGGCAAACTGTCTCCTATACCCAAATGTCATTACAGGTGGAGAGCCATGTAACAGGTAATAGGACACTGTGAAGACGTCAGAGTCAACAGTACTCTTTTATCATCTGTCCCGGCCGTAAATGTTCGTATGTACGTCAGAACTGCCTTTTGGATCAACCATTCACTGCCGCTCAGTTACCTCCACAGACACAAAACCCACCATTGTGTCACCTCACTCAACAGGAACCCTTTTATGAATGAGAGAGAGAGAGAGGCACTAAGAATACAAGAGAGGGAGAAATAGAGAGACTATGTATGTCTGTAGATCATTCGAGACCACATTAAGGGGGGGGGTGTCATCAAATCATTGTGTGTCACCTTGAACTCTTTAAGAGGCTTTCAGGCCGAGGGGCACTTGAAGTCCGGCGGAGTCAGCTGAGAGTGCACATAATAGCTCAGAGCTGAGTCACAGCAGCAGAGCCTGAGTGGATAGAAAGGTCACTCTGAGTGGGTTATGAAAAGGGGAAGTAGTGTGGAAGACAAACTAAACAACATCTACACACTTTTAAACCACTATTTTTCCCTCAGCTAAGTTAAGTAAGAAAGTATTTAGTATAAGATAGACGAAGGAGCTATAATTTGACATAGTGCTCCCTCTTTTAAGAAAAAAATACATTGATCAAACAATGTTGTGATGATAACCATGGTCTTCATTACAGTAAAACTTTCCTCACACTTTTTTGGGATGGAGGTGTCAGATTATATGAATGAAAATGTCCAAAGTACTACTGCTGGCAGGGGAAAAAACCCTTCAGAGGCACCCAATCCCGCCTGGGTCCATGCCCAGCCGTGCAGCAGTGATATGCGCCTGCAAGAGACTTTTGTCCCTCGGGGTGAGTCATTTAGCACTGGCATGCCGTTTAATCCTTCAAGCGCGTGGGGGGGGGGGCAATATGGTTGAGATGGGCTTTACGAGTGTCACGCCTCAGGAAAAAAAAACCCTACACTTTTACAGACAACAGATGTGGGATAGAGGAAAACACTACTTTTCTGAATCTGCAAGAGGCTAAAGGAAGTGAACAAACCGGTTTGAATGCCAATACCATAAATGCTCCACCCTGAAGTGTCACTGTTGATTCAATAAGGAATATTTATAGTTAAAAAATACCTCTACACACATGAGCTACTATGTTCCCTTATCTTTTTATAGATTATAGGGTAACCCTTTCTGGAGACTCCCATGTCTCCTTGACCTACTACACTATATTGTTACTACTTAGTATTGTCATAGGAACACCTAATGATGGTCATTTACATGCCTACTGGTTAGCCAACCTTACACATACTGTGTTTTCATACTAGACTGTTAATTTGTGCATGTATGAACTGCAACATCAGCCCACTTTGAGCTAATTGTTGAAGCATGATTACTTGTATCCATTGTGTTTTTTATCTATATTCTGTTGTTTTCTGCTGCAATGGAGTCAAGAAACTTCATCTCCATATGTCTTTCAGCCTGCCAGACATTCCCCCAACTGCATGCTGGTCTCATAAATGTAAATATTCAAAATGAGAAAACAAACCTGCTCCAAGTTTAGCAACCTCCTCGAGATCAGCAGACGTCCTGGCTGAAGCGATGGCCTCCGGAAGCTTCAGAGTGAAGGGCAACACATCCCTGAGAAACAGAGAAAAGGTCGGGTGAAAGGGAGAAAGATTTGGTCAGCAGAGAAAAGTGAGTTAAGGAGGGCGGGACTGAAAGCCTATTCCTAAAAAGTGTGTGAGTCATTCCGTTGTAAAAGGAGTGTGGCTTATAGCCTGGGTGTGTGGTGCTGGCTGAACCGTATGTTCAACCACACAGCCGGAGGGTAATGCGTGCCTGCTGCTTTCTTTTACAAGACCTTTCAGAGTTTCCAAAAGCTTCGGTCAAGTAAACCTGAGTGACCAAAGCTTTAAATTAGTGACAGTGAAACCTGGACGCTTTAAATGTGACAGATAACTAAAGCATTATTGTGCAAATGATGACTACCAAAGACACAGAAAGTGACCTAAAAACTGTGTAGATATAAATGTGAAATAGCAGTGTGGGTATTCAGGAAGTATGCAATGTAAGTATTTTGAATAAATAAATCCAAGGTATAACTAGAGTGTAAGTAATTTAAATATACTAAGCTGTCTTTTTTTTTTTCTTTTACCTTTATAGCACTACAGAACAGGTTTTTTAATGTTTGTCTCGTGCCTGCTCACAAAGACTGACCTGCACATGGATGACACAATACTCAGTCTTGCCAATGTTTTCACACTATTTCACAGGTCTACAGGTGGCATTAACACGGATAGAAACTAATGAATAGTGCCAAAAACAGATAGAAGATGTAAAAAAGGATGTACAGGATACAGGATTTTAAATACTTTAAATACTAAAATCATCTTTGTTTTATGAGGGTGGAAAAGAGTTCAACATGTTTCTTAATGTATGTGTCCACATGATTTCCATGCTTAGCAGAGAACCCACTGACTCATCTCACCACAGCATGAAAATAAACACCTGAACTCCAAAAATCTGTAAGTTATTAATTACAATTAACTTTCTTGGAATGCTGCTTTATCTCTTGACCCACCTGCCCGAACCTGTGATATTTCCAAGCCCAACCTGCTGGTCGATCGGCATCTGTCACATGGTCGGTGTAATCTTTTCTCCCAGTGCCCTTATAAATGCATTGTGTTGTTGCATAGCAAATATTATTTTTAAAATTAAATACTCTCAAGTAGGCTTGTCTTGTTATCATTTTCTATTTTTATTTGTTATTATTTTTTACCCATGTGCCATTCAGGATGTGAGAAGGGAGGGGGATTTTTAAAGACTTGAGGGACAGCTGATGAATGCTTGCATGACCTACGTTAGCCTATTATGTAAAGGCTGAAATTCTTTGTTAATCTAACCTCAAGTATTGAAAGACAAAAATTTGATCACAAAATGAAAATGGCAATAACAGATTATTAAGGAATTTTCACAAACCTGTCAAAATGATGGACCACAAAAAAAGTCTAACGCAACCTCTGCTTTCAAAACAAAAACAAATACAGTCTCATTCTCTGTCCTGTGTGAATAACACAACAATGAGTACAGATAAAACAAATCTGACTCCAGTTCTGGCACCAGTGGTGCTCTGTGCAATGGAATAGTTGTACACTTGTCGTGTATTTATATTCTAACTATATGTATCCATCTAAAAATAGAACTCTGCTTCCTTGTTCAGATTAAGGTTAAAGGTGGAATATTTTGTGCTTTTTTCCATCTTCAACACTTCCTTCTTTGCCTTTGTTGTTATGATTTATAGTTTAGCAAACTTAGACCCTTTTCTACCCACATAAACAGTCTATAAGAGCTGTGGATTACATGATTATGGCAACGTAGTAGATTTGATTTCATACATCAATATACACTGTGTGTTTGTCATATTGTACACAGTGCACTATTTTATATAGAATATACAATTTTATATACAATAATATATAAATATTATATATTTTATATACAAAAGAACTGTACACACCAAACCAAAGCAGCCCCTGTCAACCCCAAGGTGCAGTTTAAAATTTAGACTTTCTTTTGCCAATATGTTACAATAGGATATGGTGATACATATCATACGTATCACAATACAGAGGTTATGATTAAATATTGTAAGGCGATAATTTCATTTTAAAACTTTCATAGAACAAAGAACACACCACCATATCCATACAATCTGAGTTATTTATCACAGTCCCTCTAACATCCAACACCCAACATCATAGTAATAATTAGAGTGGAAGTGAAATGGCTAAAGACAGATTACACACTGCTATCTAGCAATCACTCAAGTACTCAAGTGTATCGATATTTTCTGATCACACAGGGCAAATATATCATATATATTATGTTATATATTACATTATATCATTGCACAAACAAAGCAAAGTGTCTAAGAATAAATCATGGTGAAGGGACATTATTGATTTTTGATTATTCACAGTTCCTGTTTACAGCATAACCATGGGTTAGGCTATACGGATAGAGAGATGGATGGATGGATAGATGGATGAATGGATGGATGGATAGATGGATGATGGTGTAAATCTCTTCTGCTTGTGTTAACCAATTTATTTCAGGCATCTTACCAAAAGCCCATTTGCCTTGGACCACATCTGTGTGGTTTGCATGTCTTTCAGTAATCATTAGTAATTCTAAGTGATGAACTCACCTGCTTATGCAGCAGAAGGCCACCAGACGGAAAAGGTCTGCAAAGCTCAGGCCTGATCCCTCCAAAGAGAAAGCTGTAGGAGCACAGAACAACATGATCAAGACACAACGAACTGTGAGAGGAAAAGCATGTAAAAAAGACAGTTTGGTCATTTCTTGAATCTGGTTCAAAGAAATGTGAAGTCCTGTGACTTTGAGCAAAATAATCTAAACAATGCCTTTACTGACAATACAACAATGTATGATGTTTTGACTTATGTCACTGGCAAGGGAAAAGAGGACATAGCTGAGAAAAAGCACAACAGCCACAATGCATGCAAAGGAATGTTTACAACATTTTCTATAATCCCTGGATTAACTTGAATTCCCGTAAGGATAACAGAGTCAGATTGGTATTATAATTGCCATATAAATAATGTGAATAAATGGCAACAACAATGAGTGTGGTGAAAACCACTTTCCCCATGTGGACTCAAATTGTTGGTTAATAAATGTGTAAGAGAACACACAGAGAAAACAGATCACACAATTTGTTAGGAGGAGCAAAACTTGCGTGCGTCCTGTTGGTAATATACGCTGAACGAGACCTTGTTTTCCTTACAACTTGGCATGCAGTCACAACAGCTTCAGGCCTCTGGCACTGAACTCAAATGTGAACAAGATCTGGGTGTGGCTAGAGAAACCAGGCATTTACGTGTGTACGTAACTGTGTACATAACTGTGTGTATAAGACAGAGAAAATGAGAGATGTGTTCAAAGTAGCTCTACACAATTAATCGCAATATTACTGAAATCTCAATATGGGTTAGGGTTAGTAAGTGCAATATCCAAACCACAATAAGCTGCATTATAATGAGTTACTGTAGTTCTGCAGAGATGTCCTGGCCTGAACCTGTTTGGTACAGACCCCAACAAATGTCACGTCACATGATTTTTTTTTCACAGTTGCAGTATCTGTAATAGTAGTTTTATTACCATATCATGCAGCCCCAGTTCAGAGTAAAAGGAAAGAAAAAACAAAGACTTGTATGAGGTGATCTACACTAGTCTTAGGCAGTCATGTCTTTATAGCAGACTTAATCCAGAAGAGTTGGAAACAAATGTTTAATAAGGCGAAGGATGCAGAGAGAGCAAGAGAAAAAAAGATGTTCAGACTGTAGGGAATGAGGGAATGAGGGAAGTGGGTTAAATTCAAACATGTGTCTTAGATGGCAGCGTGCCATCCCATAACTTACAACTGTCCTCATCTATCTCAGATCTCCCATGAGCTCCAATAATCATACTTAGTGTTGTTTAAATATTGCTTTTTAGAAAGTTTAAGATCTCTTGAGCTAAGTGTCAGTTAGCTTTCGTATGTGACAAACTAAACTTTAGACCGCACTCATTGCTGCAGTACAAAGGTCAATTTCTACACAGCATTTCATTTATTTAAGCTTTTAAGGAACTAAGAGAGTGAGAGAGTGATAACCTATTGTACATTGATCCAACTGAATGGTAAGGTGTAATGGTAAGTATAATCACTATACTACTTGCGTTAGGAGTACTGCTTGAAGACTGTTTAAGTTACCTAAACAGCTGGATTTTCGCTTTGTCAGCTAGCTTATTCTCTATGTTAAGATATAGTGGAGACTCGTCTAACACAAGGTCAACAAGGTGTGATAAAAAATAACCACGTGATTTTAGTACTTAAGACAACCAAACTGTTTACAACTGCATTGAGATTTGGACTTGGACACATGGCACATTGGCAAATCAGACTTCTTTTTTGCCTCACCTGCACAAAATATGTCCCTATATCTGGCACACACACAACAACTATTATCTGTTGAAGTACTCAGGCTGTAACAGGCCTCATCACAGTTTAATACGTTTCTGAGTAAAATGAGTCACATACACTGACAAATATTCATTTATTGCAGGTAGACACTTGGCAGTGACGCTTTTTTTTACTGTGGTGATACAGAAACAAATGTGAACAAAGCTCCATACCGACAACCCCACCAAAGAACCTTTAAAAGAACATGAACATACAGACAGAAATATTCTGCATTCATACACACTAACCAGACTGTTAGTCAGGCTAGTGGCTTTATGGACACAAAAATAATTACATTCCAATCAGCCTCCGCTTTACACTAAAATAAGGTGAATGAACATGGTAAACGCTACACCCCATTAGCATTGACACTGTAGTAGTAGTAGTAGCATGCTGACATTTGTGTATAGTTCAAAGCACAGCCAAACAGTGTTGCTAGCATGGCTGTTGACTCCTGTCCAATTATAGCAACCTGGTTAAGGTCAAAAAGGGGAACAACTCCTGACTCCCACCATAATAAGTTTACATGTCTTGTCTTGTCCTGAGTGTTCTGAATGAAAACAGCCGCTCTGTTAAAAAACGTGTCAGGTACCAGTGAGATATGAAATATGAATCAAGAAAACTGGATAGACCCATGAGTTAGAAGGCTTATCAGATGACAAAACACTGCACAGTGGTTTATAAAAGTGATTCCCCACCAGGGGTACTTGTATCCCAGGGGGTACTACTGCTGTTGCCAAAGGCAACGTGGAAGGATGGAGGGGAGCTCCATTATTCAAAGCTAAAAGTAGTAGATAAATGGCTGAATGTCCAGTTTCTATCATCTGGAGTGGTAGAATAGCAGTGCAAATGTAAACCTGTCCAAACTGACCTAAACATGTACAGTTCAACTGTATAAAAACAATAACATTCAGTTTAAAATCAGCTCAAATGAACACGTCAGGAACATGACCCGTGGCATTGATGAAGAGGCACTTTAGCTCATCAGACAGTGCTGTGGGGGTACACTGGAGCAGTGGTTCCCAACCCTTTTCCTTCAGGGACCCCTTTTCTGTCTTTGAGTAAAATGACGACCCCTGACTAAGTGACACATTTTATGGATCGTAACAGTACAGAACAACTGATAGACCCAATAAACCCAAATAGTGAACACAGGAAGTGTGTCTAAAATGAGCAATAATAGATAGTGTGCTGTGTTCTTCCAGCAGATTTATAATGTGACATCATTTCTTTGCACAGTTATAAAACCTTCAGGTTTAAATGGACAAGTAACTGTAGTTCTTGAGAAATCTAACTGTGTTTAACAAGATCATTCTTAACCTAAAAATAAATTTCTCAAATGAAAGCAGAATAAAGAATGCTGCAGAATAAAGAATTAAACTACATTTAATGACTTATTACTAGAACTTACAGGGTTTTGTTTTGCATGAGGCCTCTCTCTCAATGAATTGACCACTCTATTTATATATTGTGTATTGTTCTCATCAGAAGAGAGATGAGAAGAGAGACATCATTGACTTTGTCTACACCTGTAACCAGCAGCCAGAAGGTGGTGATTCAGACGCAGCACATACTCTCACTAGGTAAGCATTTGGAAATTCCAGTGTGGTGCCAATAGAGACGGGCGTCAGCGCACACAGGTACAAGAGGAACACACTGCACATTCAGAGCAGTGAGATGTTTGGTTAAAAAAAATCCCCATTTTTCATGTAACTAAAAATAGAACACAACAAAGAAGAAGAGAGCAGTGGAATTGGTGAAACTAATGTGGATGGGGCGACGGAAGAGGAAGTAGTCAGTTTAAAGGCAAAGCCTTCAGGACATCTCCCGGACAAAGATACAGTGTATTGAAGCCTCCGGCACTCACTCTAGAACAAAGCCTCACCCAATACACCCAGAGCTCTGTCTAATGAACTCTAAACACCCCTTTACCAATACCACCGTCATGTTCTAAATGTGGTCATTTAAACTGATTTTAAACTGGACACTATAATTCTTTTATACAGTTGAACTGTACATGTTTAGGTCAGTTTGAACAAGTTTACATTTGCACTGACACTCGACCACTCCCAAGTGGAAGAAACTGGACATTCAGCCATTTATCCATTACTTGTAGCTTTTAATAATGGAGTGGGGTGCAAGAACCCCTGGCTGGGAATCACTGCTGTATAGACAACAGAAGGGATGTTTCTCGCTAGAGGTCTTACTCAAAACACGTGTATTTTGGTGTTTATAGTTTGGATTTATCCAACGTTTCCACAAGCCTTGGTTGGTTTTAATCGCACCAAGCCACATCTAGCCATTCATCCTTGTTTCCAATGCATCCTCACAGCAGGGGAAACAGTGTCATGCTGCATTGTTGTGGTCCAGTTTGGTAGCAAGGCCAATCTGTGACAGTCTCTGCCCTCATGTAATTTGTATCTTGCTCAACCCATCTTGGCTCAACCCATGCATTGCCCTGTATGTAAAAGTTCCTTTGTAGCATCCAACAGAATCATTGTGGTAAGGACTGTAGTTTCACTCCTCTGTTCCTCTTTGTCCTTTCAGATATCAGCCTTATTTCATCCTTTACTGGTGGCTTTCAGCCATATGAGAGCTGCAGTGAATGACTGCTGATGCAAACCAACTATTTCCTGCTGCTGCTTCATGTTAAAAGCTTTCTTGTGACCCCTTCCATTAAAAACTACTTCAGTCCTGGCAGAAGTCTCCATCCAAATATATTAGCCTATGTATGTCATTTATTGGTTATGATGGTCTGACTGGAGTAAAAGTTGAGTAAAAGTTACTCTTAGCCCTAAGTTCCTATTTGCTGTCAGTTTCACCAGTGCCAGTCTTTTCTTGGTCAACCCAATTTCTACACAGAAATAATCCATCATAAATATAGCATGCAATTATTTACGTCAAACAGTCTTGGTTACAATGAAAATGAGTAATGCTTCGAGAGTTTGAATAGAAAAAGGAGAAAAGAAACCTGAAAGAGTTTCCATTCATCTTGTTTAGAAAGCCATTTATTTACTGCAGTGAAAACCAACAGCTCTACAGTATTCTGTATTTACATTGTAGGTCATAATAATTCAGGCCTGTATGATAATTGCAGGTCTCTGCACACACAACACGTGAATTCTATGAGAACTATGTCCAAAATCTAGGTTACATAATTACAGCAGCCCGGGAATTCCAGCGGAAGAATTGGGCCAATTTCTTTGTTGCTGACAATCACAACAACCCCTGAAGGTTGACACAGACATATTTTACTTTGAAACCTGATTGTCAGGGGCATTTCAAAAGAAAAAACACAGATAAAACACATGAAGTGGAAGATGCTTACTGTACTGGCTCTCTTTCACAGGAAAGTCTTTGACAGGAACTGTGTAGTTTTTGTCCATGCGTAGAGATATTACTTTCTTCTGCAGGCTGGTTGACTTCCTCACCACGAATGTCTGTAGGCCAGAGAAGAATACGTCCAATCAGAACATATATACCTCAGAAGTACTGCCTCATTCTTCATTGAGTAGTGTCTGTTGTGAAGGATTTATCATACAACAAAGAATGTCATGATTTTTGACTTTTTAGATCCCATCTACATCACATCTACACATCGTCTGGCACTGGTTCCCAACCTTTTCCACCATTGAGTAAACTGACTAAGTGACATATTTCATGGATATTTCATAATGTATCCAATGCATAACAATAACAGTAAAGAACAACCGAAGAACTGTACAATGAACCCAAACACAATAACTGCAGGAAGTTTGTGAAGTAGTATTTTAGTTTTTTATTAGTATTTTTTCTATTTTAACAATGATACATACTTCTTGTAGGCTGCTTTTTTTAATATAAATTCAGTGTTTCTTCTCATTTTTCTATCAGCTCCTTAGTTATTTGAACTGTGTACCTATCTAATGCAGGACAAGGCTGTTTATCAGAGAGAGAAGGCTCTCTAATAAACCTGATCCCCAGGTTTAAAACAGTTGGATTTCTGTAGGACTGTTATAGAGGAGTAAATTGGTTGCCATGATTTTTGAAGGCCGTAGTTCATGGTGTATATTATACTGAGGGGGTGTTGAAGTTACTGTTTTGGCTGTTTGTGCTAAGAAGTGTGGACTTTGACACTAAAGTGAAAGCTTTAAGTCAACAGTGTTGGTTGCTGGAAGCCACAGTGCTGCTGTTCCCTCACCCCAGTGGGCCGGCTCTGCAGGATATGTGTGGCATCCTGGTGGCTGAGGCCCAGCTGTAGCCACACGGCATGTGTATGCACCAGTCTGTCCAGAACACTGAGCCGCCGGTGGAGGGAGTCATAGCCTGAATCTCTGGCTCCAGCCAGCCCCGCTCCCATCCCAGAGCAAGGTGAAGCCTGCAGGAAGAGACCTCCTACCTCTTCACCCAGCCTAAAAACAAGATCAAACAAATATAAGAAAGTGCATTACAGGGATTGTAATTTTCATACCACCACTGAACAATGAAAAACATTCACAGGATGCCAGACTAACTTCTGGAAAATCGCCATTATGATTAATGGGACCAACAAAGATTGGACACACCACACATAATGAATATTTACACCAAAACACAAAGCGTAAAAAAACATAATGAATAACACACTGGAGTTTACCTTCCTTTTTTACTGCAATAAGTGCAGAAAAGGGAGAGAAATAACAGAAAAACTAATTCATTTGTTAAATGGAGTGAGATCTTTGGTTGGAGTCCCCTATGTTGGCACCCCAGCTGCACCAGCAGTTTGGCTTTAGATGAAGGCTGCGTTTTTTTAAGCAGGGGTTCAGGCAGTCTGAACAAGGCCTATTGCACGACGGTTTGTCGCTTGCTGTTTTCAGGCACTTTTAAAAAAAGTTCTCCAGCCTGCAGATTAAACTGTCAGCTGTCATGATTCCAGTCTTAAATATCAAACTTTTGAAAATAAAAATAATCAGGACAAGCAATGACTGGATCACAGGAGAAACTCTATCAGAAACCAAGTTAAGCGTCTGTGGATGTGATGAGGAATATACTGAGCCACAACAAGGCAGATATACTTACTTAAAGTGTAAATAAATAACAACAAAAAAAACATTGTCATTGGCTATCAGCAAGATTGTCATTTGAAACATTGCCATCACATAACACACACACCCACGCACACGCGCGCACACACACACACACACACCCACACACACTACACAAGCATGTACAAACATTAAAATATGTAGGCAGCACTACTATGAATAGTGAGTGCTGACATCAGCCAATGAATTCAGTTACTTAAGATTATCAATGTTACAAATAATTCCAAAACATATGAACTTTCTGGAATTGATGCATTTCACACTGCTGGCCAAGCTCTTTCATACTTCCTCAACACTTAACAGGTACTTTCTGAATTCCACAGAATCTGAGAAGAGAAATTAATTACCAGAAAATGCACACTGAGCTATTCAGCAAAGGCATGCTAGGCATCAGAGGTTTATCTGGGATCTATTTTTTCTACAAGTTTAAGATGTCATCTAGCTTCTTGCGGGAAAAAGTTCACAGACACACAATACAAAACAGTTACGGGACAGCTAATACATTATCTGCTGATTCCTGGCATAGCTAAGTGACAGCCGTGTGTCAGTAGCTGGTCATCACCCTTCACACATTTCACATAACACAACTTCAAAGGCCTCTTAAGGGTGCTCTCTGCTGGCAGCCATGGGGAACTGCACTACACTAAATCAAATGGCAATACTGGCTGGGACAAGTACACACACACACACGCACGTCTTGTATGCAGATGCACTATGAGCTTACCCAAGGAGTGTATCTGTCTTGTGGTCTCCTTCTGCAGGTTCAGTCTTTTTACCCATTTCCTTCTTCAGTGTGCCAATTTCCCAGGCAAATGAGTCGATCAGCTGCAGAGAGGCACATGGAACAATACAGTCATTTTAGGGAAAACAACAGGTCTGAGGTCAGTTCAATTAGAGCAAATACATGTGTCTATGGAGGTGTTTCAGCCTCCACAAGTGTCTTCAGATGTTTCTAGTGCTTTTCTTGAAGTATGAACTGGCTCTCACTTCTGCAAGCTTTAAGTGTGTGTGTGTGTGTGTGTGTGTGTGTGTGTGTGTGTGTCTGTGTGTGCATTTGAGACAATCTACCCCCGAACTAACCACTTCCCATTGACCAACCAGAGTGGAAACAATTCATAAAAGCTGCCTGTCTGTGAATGAACCATCATATAAATAACTCAGGCCTTCACAGAACCTTTAGTGTTCAATTCTACAGCAGGATTGTTTAACATAAGTCCTTTTAAACTGGCTGTAGACTGAAATGCAACTTTTCACTACCATGTTTGCATAGCGTCAATGGTGGGTTTGCAACCAAAAGGAAGCACAGCATCCAGACACCATTGCCACTGCATGCATCTTCTCACGCAACTGGTCAACAATGCATTTGTTCAGTTATTAGCTGCAATTTTTGCACAGGTCTTCTTTTGGTTAAGACACAGTTGGATCATATTTGCTTCCACCAGTACTCACAAGCTACTCCTTCAGGTGGGGACACTGTAAAGCAGCATTTGGATCCACTGAGATACGCTTGTTGGTCTGATACTTACCCGAGAGTTTCAAAAATCCCTCATCCCATCATTTTTGGGAAATATGCATATTTGCTTACCATGACTGTATAGTAAATATGAAGCTATTGCAGCCGCTCAGCTTAGCATAAAGGCTGTAAATCAACATACCATCACCTCTAAAGCTCACTAAAAAACATGGTTCATCTTGTTTATCTAATTTCTCGTAAATGACTGTTTAGTACCCTTTACTCCTCCAAAGGCACTGAGCAAGCTTTTCTAAAAACTATCCAAGACTACAAGTTTGATCCTGACTCAACCTCTAAATCAAACAGCTACTCTGTGTGCACTGACAAGACACTGGCCCACAAACATGCACACTCACACACACAAATATAAGCCTCAAAAGGCGTACTAGCACCACTTGTTAAGAAGTTATCTGACTTCTTGTTCTTGTTTTTTCTCTTACTTCTACATGATTTTAAGTTATAATCCCTAAGATTCAAATTTCCCTTGCATGCATCAAATTGCCCTTGCATGCCATGTTAGCAATTATAACTTCTATCTATAATTATAACATTTCAAGCTCTAAAAACATGAAATGTAGATCAACCCTGACTCTTTTCAGTATGATACTGGCGTCATTGGTTTCATTTCCCCGTTATCTGTCTAGTTTGGCAATGTTTCGGTTGGGTAACAGCACATCAGCTGCTCGAGCTGAGTGAGGAAACAATTAGCTCAGCTGTTTCAAGGGAAATCACAAATTCTGACTCATTTAATTTGCCGTTCCTTGCTCTTCTTTCAGTAAAGAAATATATTCTGCTACCAGCAACGTGAACCCAGAAATGTTGAGTACCCCAAGGTTTTATGTTAGAAACGTACAGTATGGGTTCCCAGCATTTAAAAAACTGATTGATGCTAACTTGCATATCCTGTGCAATGAGCAAAATGTCCATAATTAACAAAAAAAAAAAAAAAAACGATCTGGACGAGGATGTGGATGTGTTATCCATTTCTGACATTTTTAAAACAAACAAAAATCTTCTAAATGCTGGGGACCCAAACTGTACATTTGCAACGTAAAGCTTTGAGGTACGCCACATTAACGGGTCCCAATGTGACTCTATGGGCTGGCAAATAGACTAAGAGATGGATGGAGATGGATTCTTGTGTGATCTTATCCAGCTGCCTCACAAGGTTACAGAAGAAATAATGAATGAAAAACTAAAAAAGTGTTTGAGATGAATGCTTGTGTGCTAACAAAAACATCTACTAAAGCAGACATTGTAAGTATAGTTATGCAACAGCTTTTGCTGAAATTCACAGTAACCTTTACAAGGTTTCACTGGAAACCTGAAGCCATACTTGGTAAGGAGACAGCGGCACTGCTGAAAATTCCACAGGGTCAAGTGCCCCACGACATGCAATAAAACCACATTTAACTAACAAAATCATCCTTCAGACATCATGAGGAAAGTATGTGTGCTTGGCATTGGGACTGGCCAGACGCCAAAGACGGCAGAATAAACATTAAGAAAGTGCCTTGCTTCTATGTTTACCTATTTTATTGTACTGGGAGATTCCTGGTCTTACTGACCCCTGTCTTATATTAATAGTTCTCTTTCTTCCCCAATTTATTTTACTTCTTCTTCTTTCAGGCTCCCTCCCAGACTCAAAAAAGCCAAGAGCAGATGTGCAAGGGGGAAAGACTGCAAGGTTGGTCGTTGACTTAAAGAATTCTAAAAGGACACTGCAGTGCAGTAATTGTAGTAATTATTGATGAATTGTACTAATCTTGATCTTGGCTAGAAATACAGTCTGGTCCTGATGATATATTATACAGAAATAATGTATTGACAGGACTACAGTTTATACTATCTCTGATGTATATTACACTAATCCAGTGTCTGAACTGAACTGGGCTACCAGCAATTTCTTTTAAGAAGTACCCTTACTTCTTATTGCATATTCATCACTCCTGATGAGTCTAGGTTCCTGATGAGTCTAGGTCCACATGCCTAAACACCTGGGTAAAGCTTGATTTTCTTCCCCCCACTGGCATACTGCGAAGACCCACCCAACTCTGTCTGATTGGTTATTCATTGGATAGGGTGGGAAAAAAAGCAACGCCTGTATAACTGTGTCCTTGTGTAAACACAGCTTAACGTTCTTCCTGTCCAGGGACTACAGATGTAAACTTTTTTTGTGTTGTGTTGTGCATGACCTCTGTTAAATAATTCATTATCCAAATGCAAATAGTTAAAAAAAACTATAAAAGAATTTATGTTAGAGTTATAGCGTGGTTAGGGATAGGAGCGTTTGCCATTAATCACCTAGATTGTGGTGGCCGCCACAGTCTAATTTGTCCTACCACAGTGTCGTAATAAGCCGAAAATATTTGCACACTACTTTGTAATATTGGGTTTTGTGCTGTTGCTTCAGCAAAGCATCTCTCATGGTACGTGTCCAGAAGGGGCCTTTCTGGACGTGACGGGGTCACAACCAATGTGTTGTGTGTGTGTGTGGATAAGTAACATAACATAAAACATTTTGTGTTTGATGGTCGATACCGATAAGATCAGGAGGTGTGAGGGAAGTACAGCAGTGCGATGGCACACATGTCTACACAAATGGACAAGACGCAATGGAAACTGACCACAATGCAGTTTGTGGATGACATCAACTTCTCAACATGTGAGAAACAGGAGGTGTAACTAATGCACATGGCGAAATGTGACCTTAATGATGAGCAGATTATTATTATATTATATTATTATTATTGCTTTTGTTTAAAATGTTACTTTATTATTGCTGTTCTAGTTGTTATTATTATTATTATAAGTAGTAGAAGTATTAGAGCCCAGTACTATTAGTAGTATTACTATACAATATATTATTATAATTAGGATGATGATGTTGACCACTGTGATTGCTACCATTATTGTTTTATTATTTTATTGATCTTTTTTATCACAATCACGAGAATTATTATATTGTTAATTAATATAATGATGAGGTGTTAATCATGATCATGCTGCTCCTGCTCACTATGTTGTAACTATTTTGTATTGGGTAATAAGACGAATTTTAGTTACTCATGAATTTGTCTTCATTGCCATCATGACAATACACGGCATCTTCATGTGCATTTTTTAAATATATATGTATTTTTTTTTATAATTTTTTTATTTCTCATAGTCATGGTCAGTTCATAAATACACCTCCCAATAAATGAATAAATTGTATAAAATCAGTAATCTGCAATGATTTCCTAAATTATTAATAGTCCATATGATCAATCAGCACAAGTCTATCTGTATTTTCAGAAAGAACTACCAAATAATTATCTGACGCACTGTGTGAAATTTTCTTTTACATCATGTTCAGAATTTCTTGATGTGATGAAGTGGGAATATTTGATGACTTCTTTTAAAAACAAATCTCTGTTAAGCAACGCAGGAGAAACTGGGCTTTACCAGAACAAACAGAGATGAAAAGCCTGACAGGAAAACCAAAGAGCTATAATACTCAGGCCGGCTCCACCTCTTTCCTCCTCCTCTTTAATCTTCTCCAGGAGTTAGCCTGTAACTAGAAGGTTTTCTGCCCCCCACCCACATCACCCAGCCCCATATGCCCAGGATCTTTATGTAAACTACAATGGCTAAAACCTTCTGTGTTTACAGCACTATATGTGAAAATGATTTTGCCCCATATGGGCGTAATTATTTGAGTAGCACGTACCTTGAAGAAACTGCCTTTCCTCTCCTGCTTGCAGGGTTGACCGGTGGTACTGGTGGACATGTTGTCTGTACAGGCTTCTCTGTCTGTCCCTGCTGAACTGTCTGTGGAGGAGAGAGGACATTATAGCCATAAGACACACAACAAAAGGCAGCTCAGTTTTGTCTACTCCAGATCAGTCTCAAAGGAGAGTTATGAGGACAGAAGCAGTTTTGTAGGAACAGAGTTTTTAAGAAATGAATAGTGCTTGTGTGAAGAGAGGAAAAAACTGTCAACTGCTATTTCCGAGGTCACGGATGAACTTTGAACCTCAAATTTTGCGCCGACCTGGATGAGATTAAAGACCTCCGAAAAATGTTAATTTGAACATGAGCAAATCCATAGCAACTGGTCAGACACCCCTCTGCTGATGACGACCATGTGATATGACCGAAAGCTCCAGACTGTTCTGTCAACTGCTGTTTCCAAGGTTACAAAATGATCTCCGACGCATGTATTCTCCCTAACATCTTGTTTTCCCATTATATCTCCCCTAAGAAGCTTTACAGCAGTTATGATTGATGCTTCTGTAACAGAAGAATTAGCTGAGTCTGCAGCTCCCGTCGGCTTTACAGAGCTTTCAAATGAAGTTCCACCTCATTTTTTATCTGTCCAGCTCACAACTTTACTGGGCTGCTTCACTCTCATCACACTCTCATCACGCTCTCATCACACTCTCACTGGGTTGTTTTTGGCTGTTTTTAGAGAAAAGGCTCTGAAAACCCATTGTACACTCAAAACAGTCAGACACAGTTAAGAGACTAGCTGGTGAACTTAGTGGAGCACTTCGCTAAAGAGCCAGATACATTCACCAACCATCTCCAAATAATGATTACGTTACTGCTGGATGTGTAAATAAGCAACTGTTTAATAATATCTCAACCACGTCAGCTCTGACTCCTTGAAGAAGCTTCACAATGTTGACTGAGTGAAATATTCAAACTCAACATTGCAAATTTTTCTTGGTTGCACAATACCATTAAAATGCTAATTTCATAACAGTGGATTTTTAGCATTTACCTACAAAGCACGAGTTTGTAATGACTCACCCGCCAGGGGGTCAGTGGTATTGAAGAGGTTAGACATCAGATTCAGTTTTTGAATTGAGTTGGTTTAACGTGACCAGCAGCACTGGTAGGTGCAGTCAAAGGTTTGTTGTTCTGTGGGACCACTGGAGACAATCAAAAGGACAAAAACTTACATCAGCAAACATGAGCCAGTTCAATTAACTTTAAGGTGATATGTTATGCTGATTTTCAGGTTCATGTTTTTATTTTGGGCATCTATTAGAAAATAATGTTCAAAAAATCCATTGTTTTTCTCATACTGTCCACTGCCACAGCAACTCTATTCACCCTCGGTCTGAAATAGTCTGGTTTAGTCATCATGAGTCATGGATATATTAGGGGAGAACTGAATACAGCGTTGGAGGTAGGGCTGCACGTTATGGTAAAAAAAACAACTCTTGCGATTATTTTGACAGATATTGTGATTACGATGTGATTCGTTAGTGGGAATGATCATTTCTGCATCACAATTTTCTCTATAAAAATGATGATGGTGTGGTGTGTACAGTATGATGTTTGGGGTCTGTACCAAACAAACATGTTTTCTAACACCTGGAGAACAAGATTTGACAGCCTGCAGTTTTACACTACTTCATTATAATGCTGTTTTGTTGCACATTTTCCCTTTGTTCTTTGTTCCTTGAGTTCACAACAGTGAGCAGTTAGTGATGGGTTCCAGGCCGCAACTTTGAAGGTGGAGGTATTATCCTTTATCAGATCGGTGCGGAGCAGTGCATGGCCTGTCCTGTTGTAAATTGGACAGTTGTTGTTTAGCGTCCCTTTGGCAGTTTCTTGGTCTTATACACAGTAAAGTTAAAGAAAGTTTACTCAGTTCTCTGCTGAGGGAATTGGAGTTCTGCTCATCACGCAACAAATATTAAAATTAAAAGACCCAGCTTACTCGCAGCAAGGAGAGCAAGAAATCTTTTCTTCTTCAGGACTTGGATGGGGCTCTGACAGCCATTTTGCTCAAAACAATGAGTGGTTCAAAACAGAGCTGTTACTGATTTTGCACGAACAGAGGCAGAACATATGTACACACACACAGGCACGCCTGACCCAGATGTTGTGGTGGATCTCGTTTCAGCAGCTGATATGAGACAGCTGTGTCAAGGCATGCAAACACCTCCCTTTTAAGAAAGACACATGTAAGAGGAAAACATCGTCAGCATCCATTTACTGACTAACAAATTCCTATCCACAGATACTTCGACAACAGTGCTTGGACAGGAGATTGTAGTGAAAGCATAAATCTTGAGGCTATTGTTTGACAGGCTGGAGTGTTCTCTATTTGACTCGCTGGAGAGACTCAGAGGGAAACCTGCTGGACGAAATATTTGCTGTTCAGTTACTGTTGGAATGCTTTTGTTCTCAGAGCCGGCTAGGTGCTCTGAACATATACATGTGCTAGTGCCCACTTTGGGTTAGATCCAATCTATCAGTTTGCTTCCAGATAATGGCTGACACTCCCAGCTGCTTCACCCTGAGCTGCAAACTGTCCTGTGAGTGCTGGAGGTAGCACTCTGATGAAGATGTAAGCGGATCCAAGGCAATCCTAAGGCCATCAGAGATTCTGTCCATGGACACCACAGAAAGACACAATCAATGAAAAGGTTCAACCCTAGCAGAGCCCAGCACCCACTAAGATCGTAGTTGGGAAGGTCTGAGGCTATAGAACTCTGTCAGAAAATGGAGTTGGGGGTGAGTGCACTGACTTAAGTGAAGGAGTTTGAGTTTGCACTGTTGAGTTAAAATTCAATTCAAATAGAAAAAAGGAGAACACGAGGGGAAAAGTGCCAGGCAGAAATTTCACTTTCATTTTCCAGCAAATTCTGAACTATGAACGTGAACTAGTTCATTTTAATCTGTACAAACTGTACTTTGAACTAGCTCTTGTGAAGTGTGAACTTGCACAATACTGATAAATAATGAACCCTTTAAACGCCAGGCATCTTGCTCCACCTTCCAGTGTGGTAGTTCAGACCAGCTATAAAACGTGGTCGGACGGCACATCGCACAAAGTAGTTCTTTTTGAGTAAAGCCCCAGCTCTAGCCAGCTGCTACCGCTACTTGCACTCCCATAAGTGGTAGCAAACGGATGGATGGATATATTGTATAATCGCCTGATGCTGACATGCAAGAATTCATAGATCAGCTATTCAAGCGGTCAAGCACGGACATGACGCAGGCTCCTCAGCAACATAATCTACTGAAGAATGGTTCTTTTTTTTGTATTTGGAGCATAGACTGCATAATTAAAAATGGATATAGTCTCTGTGATGTCACCCACAGGTGTGTGAAGAGCTGTTCAGTGTGGCCGGCTGTGGTCCAGACTCTGCCAGCTCCCAGTTAATCCAAAAATGGGCACAGAGGTGAAGTGTGGGTGGAGCTGAGGCGGGCTGAATAAAGCCTGGTTACTGAAAACAGATGCCTGTGACAGCGCCCACCTGTCACTCAAAGCGGCCCTGCCCTTAATTATGCTTAACTTTTAGCTCTAATATAACGGGTTATATAAAAATGTACCCCCTGATCAGTTGTCATGAATGAGGATTAGCTATAGAGACCAAAACCACTGTTTGTGCCAGTCTGTATTGTAGCCTGCTGTAAAGTTGGGCATTTTAATATTACTGCTGGAGTCAGCCTCAAGTGGCCGTTTGAGGAACTGCAGTTTTTAGCAATTGTGTGTTGGCTTCATTTCTCGGCCATGGAGGTTGCTGCTTGATTTGCACTGAACATGGACTCATGAGAACAAATGGTTAGGGACAGAATGGCTTTGGAATGGAATTGTCTTTGACTGAATACAGCCAATTTCATTCATAAAAACAAACGGTTGCTGGCTGTGAGAGAAACTAACTGAGTGTGCCCCAATCAAACACACACACACATTAACATATGGACAGTGTGTAGTTTTGGGCTAAACAGAAAAACAACATTTGATAAAAGGCTGGATTAGATTTCCATGTTTTTTACTGGCATGTGTGTGCACACAAGATTGGGAAACAGAGGGAGAAACAGGTTTATTTTCCCGAAAGGAAGTCACAGTGACAGAAGGCGTGTGGCCTTGCTGTTTTTTATCTCCCGTCTCTCTCAATCCCCGTTTCCTCTTCACGTCTCTAGCGAGACTCTGCTGGGCCAACCCCCTCTTGTCAAAACAAAGCAGTGGGGTTGCTTTTGGGGTTGTTTTGGTTGGAGCAAGACGTGTGCGTGTTTTCGTGTGTGTGAATGCAAGCTTTTGTGTAATTCACAGTCCAGGCCTAGTAAACAGGAAGGCCCCTGTGCTTGTCAGGCAGGGAAAAATAAACGCTGGACTGCTAGTTGTCCCCACATATTTCCCCACATTTGTAGTTGGATAAAGTTTTGGATTTACTGATCAAAGCTTGACATTCGGGTGCTTGTTACATTTGAAAAACATATTCCTGCCTCTGTCTTCAGTTTATTATTATTTAAAATGACTCTCCATACCAAAGTACATTGCACACTTAACTTTAAAAGTGGAATTTAATGAATAACAGTGATTGTGTTGAAGGTTGGGAGAAGGGTTGTGAAGGAGAGTCTGCTGACATTGACTGCCCTCAGTGGTGTTTTTAAATCTTTTCCCTTTGACATCCTGTTCAGTTAAGTTATGCTGCAGCTTAACAAGGCTACAGCTGGCATACTACCACAGCCCAAAACAGTTAACAGTAAATCTGTTCCCATGATTCTCCCAAGTATTTTTTTTGTTTTTTCAACTGCGATGAAAACCTGACCACTAATGAATAAAATGACTGGTAAAAGATTGAGTAATTTCGACTTCTAGTAATTATACATTTGGTACCAGTTGTTTACGTTTCAATGTTCTGTAGAAAACCCAACACACTCTTCAAAACAGAAGGGAAACCTGTGCTTTCGAATTCTTGGAATTTAAGTGACAGCGTGTTGAGAAATACCAGCTAACCTGATTCTAAAGTCATGGTCTGGAAGGAGGATCTGGGATGACTCATATCCTCTAACCTACAAGCCAAATTCCCTTTACAACTCAGGCTCATAGTTGACTGTGCTAGATTGTGATAAGGCACATACACAGGCATGTTAGTCCACTATGTAGGTAAGGTGTTCAAACCAGAGCACTAAACTCACAAGGCCCAGACCCACTTTACTGTGAATGAAATGCAGAACCTTCGAATGAGCTCTGACAGAAGATAAAAACATACATTCAAATCAAAGTTACAAAAGTGTTGCAAACCATCCTACATTTTCAACATTTATTTTTCCAGCAACTCTCAAAAGCTGCCCTCAACTTCCTACAGAACATTAATAGTAGGAGCATTAATGTAGTATGTAGCAGGTTTGCATACAAATGACACCAGACTCATATATAAAACAGTAAAGCACATTTCCTCATTTACTAAGAGTGTGTTTGAAAGTGCATACTAACATACTGCCTACTACATACACCAGCTATCACAGGTTGTTTTTGGGAGAATTTTGTCAATTTATATTGCTAATATAATGGTCTGCCTCTGGAGTGTCATTGCGCAGGGAAAACAGCTGTGTGATCTGATCGGCCAGAGATGGACCAAACCAAACACTGGCTCTGGATAGGGTTGTTCCTTTTTTGCGCATTTCGCAGCCACCATAGGTTTTTCTTCGTGCTTGGAAGGGAAGGGTGAAGCGAGGGAGTTGAGATCTGCAACTACACCACTTGATGCTACTAAATCATGCACACTGGACCTTTAAAGAGTGTGTAACTTAAGCACTCCGTTCACTTGCCGGCAGAGCTATTATATCGGTGCACCGCTGTAAAAGGGCGAGGGCAGCAGGTGTATTTGTGTCTGTTGGTGTTCTATATAATGTAGGAACAGGAAACATTTTTGTATTATTGTACTGTCTTTTGCCCTGGCATAATAAAGAGACTGAACTGAACTGAAGAGGGGAGAAAAAGTCACCATGGAAAGCAGACTCAGAGACAGTTCAGAAAGTTATTATACAGTCTATAATTGTTGACAATCACTTGGAGTCTCAGCAGAGAAAACTAAAGAGAAGAAAAGAGAGTTTGGATCACAATATAACCATAACACCATGAGCCAACAGCTGAGCTAGGGTTTGGGGCATGTACATGTAGATA